TTATAGTGTTATTAATAGTAAACTATTAGTACTACTTGTTCTAGAGGTCTAAAATAACGTTACTAAGATTAGCTATTAATTCTAGAAAGAACTACTAGCCTAATACTATTACTTTATTATAGTAGCTTATAGCTAGTACCTCTCTATTAGTACCTTATAAAGGCAGGAGTAAGGCTAGTTTTAAGGATATATAGCTATAGAGCCTAGCCTACCTCTTAAGACTCTAGAGTTTCTGTTAGTCCTTTAAGGTAGTAGTAAAGGTACTATACTAGCTCTTAGTTTTTACGTCTTAGATTATATAAAGTTAATAGGTACTAGCCTACTAGAGGTCGCGCTAGTAGAGCTTAGTTAAGGTAGTAGTATATTAATAGCGCGTTACCTATACTTACTAGACAGCCTTAAAGACCTTACTATTCTACTAGAGCTTAGTACGCCTTTAGTTAACCTTCTTTCTTAAGGTAGATATGTCTATAATACGTATAAGTTAAGAAGTAAGCGAGTTAACTACCTTATTAACCTTATAAGGTATATCTAGTAGCTCTAAGAAAAGGTAGAGCTTCTTAGCCTTAATTATTACTAGTTCTTAGTCTATTAAGGTCTAGCTTTATCTTAGTACCTTTATAGCTCTCTCTTAGTAATCTCTTACTTAAGTAATAACCTTAATTAGCTAAGTATAGTAGTTAGAACCCTTATACCTTAGGTTACCTTAATAAGAATACTAGAGTGTTACTATAACCTATATATAGTTAATCGTTAAGTCTTATTTATTATGTTACTACTATATTAGCTCTTCTTAGAGTATATGTAGTAAGAGCTACTACTTATAGGCTAGATAGAGAAGGGTCTCTAATTTAAGGGTAGTCTTACTAGCTTTGTCTTAGAGTAAGTAATAAAGGTTTATATTACTTATAATAATCTATAGCCCTTTTAGGTCCTCTCTAGTAAGCCGCTAGAAAAGGCTAGCCTAGCCTAGAGAGTTAAGAATTAGTAAGTATATTAACTAGATAGTAATACCTTATAAAGTAACGTAATACTAGTCGACGCCTGTCTTTACTACTTAAGTAAGAAGTAAGTATTACTTATAAACGTAGATAGCTACTCTACTTTTACCTTTATAGACCTACTAGTACTTTACTTATACTAGGTAGTAGACTATCTTTATTTAAGTATTATACTATAGCTCCTAAATTACTATAACGTTAACTTTACGGCTATTATAAAGTACTATTAAGGTAAGGCTATTCTTTCTTATAGTGTTTTAGTATACTATTATTAATTTTATTACTAAGAGTCTAAGATCTATAATTCTTATATTATAAAGGGGTCGCTAGACCTCTAGTTAGTCTCTTAGCTTAATATCTTTATAATGTTATAGCTCTAGACTATTATAGTATCTAGTACCTTAATAAGAAGGTACTCTTACCTTACTAAAGTCTTTACTATAGGCTTCTTACTATTACTTGTCTATAGTCTCTTATATACTATAATCTAGTAGCTATTGTTACTATCTTATAAGGACACTAGTATAATACTAAGTACTTAGCTAGTAAAGCTACTCTTAGATACCTTAAACTATCTAGGCCTTTATTAATATATAGTATATACTTACTCTTTTACCTTAAGGGCCTTAAGATACTAATAGTCTTACGCTATATATAGTCTACTATAGTTAATGTATCTCTTTCTACTATTAAGTTAAGGGTACTTCTCTTTACCTTAAGGGTACGCTACTCTTATATAGTAGCTATACTAGGCCTAGTTCTTATAAAACTACTTAATATAGCTAAACTAGTAGTATTAAAAGTATCTTTAGATTTATAGGTTAGCTAAATATAGCTTATAGTTAAAGATCTAGGCTTACTAGATTAACCTTTGTTTATATAGGCGCGTTACTATATTAGCGCTCTAAAAGTATAGTACTACTATTATAAACTTTACTATAAGGGCCTTAATAAGTTTAACTTTAACCTTTATAATATATAGTATATAGGCTTAGATCTCTACTAGTAACGCTCTTAGCTCTACTTATATAATCTGTTTTACTAGTAGGCCCTTTACGATTACTATAAACTTACTCTTATAAAGCTAGGCTATAGGCCTAAACGCCTTTTATACCTAGCCCTAATCTTAGATTACATTCTTTAGTATAGCCTCTTTAAACGTAAAGATAGTATTACTACTAGGTAGCTAGTAGGTTATTACTACCTTAGTGCCTCTAATTACTATATTAGCTACTATTACTACTTTAATAGCGCTATAACATACTAAGTCCTTTGTCTATCTATCTACTCTAATCCTTAGCTCCTTAATCTGTCTCTCTAGTATAACCTATACTCTTATTAGGTACTAGCTTACTACTAATGTATAAGTAGCCTAGAGGACTACTATTACTACTAGCCTCTAGAAGGCCTCTTCTAATATTATTCTTAATTATCTAATCGTTACTAGGTTATTATTAGAAAAAGACTTAAAAGTATATAAGAGAGTTATTGTATTTATAGTTCTTGTCTCTACTACTATTGTTATTATAGTAATAAGGTTGTATAAGAGACGTAATACCTCTTTCTCTTTACCTAGTATTATATAGGCTTTGATTCTTTATATAATTTTCTTTGTCTTATTGTCCTTACTACCCTTACTACTCTCTAGCTCTTTACTATAGCTCTTAGTTAAGGTATAAGAGTACTAGCTCTTACTTGTAAGTAAGTAGTGTTAGCTCTGTTTAAGTCTAGTATACCTACTATCTGTTACTATAGGCTTGCCTATAGTCTACTAGCACTCTAAGAGGTATCTAAAGGTACTAATTTTGATTCTATTGTTTGTTTTTAAGTTTTTAAGGTAGTAAAGAGTGTAGACGACTGTCTCTTTCTTTTTTTATGTAATATATATAGCTATTATTATAGCTAACTTAAACCTCTAGCTATCTATACCCTTATATTAGTTTTTTTCTCTTAACTTTAAGAAGAGTAAGGTAATAAGCTTAGAAAGATACTTTCTAATACTATTAATATTAATAGTATAACTAAAGAAGAGATAAAAGCTAAGCTAAAGGAGTAGAAAACATCTATTAACTTACGTCTAAAGAAAGTTAACACGTAAGTAGTAGATTACTATATTAGTAATAAAGAAAGAGAACTAAACTAGCCGGGCTATTAAGTATAAACACTATAGATATAAAGACGCCTTAATACTATTATATATAAGAGGCTCTTATAGGCTTGTTCTATAGCTTAAGATAATACTTAGGTACTCTTTATGTCTATATATAAAATACGTAGTATATAAATAGTAGAGTATAAGAAGAGGAATACTATATAAGATCTATTAATCTATAATCTACTAAAAGACCTTAAGGATAAGGACATTCTTAAGCTAGTAGTTAATAGAGATCGTAATAGTATAGAGTTAGTTTTACTAACTCTACTTCTAGGATCTAAGCTAAAGACTCTTAAGGGTATTAATATACTAAAGAAACAAGTATAAGAATTATAAGATAAAAGATCTATTTTAGATTACGTAATAAAGTAGGTAAGGACTTAAGGATAGTAAAGCCTAAGTACTAAAATAAATATATATAAAACTATTTTAATTTATTTATTTTATAATCGTTTAAACTTAAGATAACTATACTAATCTTTATACTAATCTTTATACTAATCTAAGTAATCTTTATACTAATCTTTATACTAATCTTTATACTAATCTTTATACTAATCTTTATACTAATCTTTATACTAATCCTTATACTAATTAATAATTATAACCTTAGGTATTACGTAAGTATAAAGGTACCTTAGTACCTTAGGATATACTATACCTATAGGTTAGGTCTACCCTATAGGTTAGGTCGTAGATTTATTTAGAGACCTATAGGTTAGGTCTTATTTACTATAACCTACCCTATAGGGTAGGTACCTAACCCATTTAGTAAGGACCTATAGGTTTCTGCGCAGCCTAGCCTCTGTTAAGGTCCAGATAGCTTGCATAAAGACTTGGATTCTAATTGCTCCATATTATCCTCGTGGGGGAGCTGACGAGAATGAATCCCAGACAGCTTGTGAGGGTATTTTCTAGAAATCTGGCAACTGTCACGACTTAGGAAGAGTTATCCCTAGGCTACGCAGAAACCCATGGGACCCATGAAATGGGTTGGGTACCCATTCCATGGGTGGATTCCCAGAAGTAGGTGAGCGGGACCCAAACCATGGGGACTCATTGCGCAGATTAGTTGTGGGTTGCTGAGGGATTAAGACAAGTAGCTCGTGTCGTCGTTTCGAGATCCCTTTGGTTTGCATTTTCCGTAACCATATTGAAAGGATCAGCTTGGTGTATAATTAGGCATACGATATATCAAGAGTTCAAAATCTGGAACTGAATGTATGGACAATTGACTGTGTGTTGCTTCTGCCTATCATACTTCTCTATGAGAGAGCAAGCTGCTACTAGCCTTGTACCTTGCTTGTCATCTTAACACGCGATTTGGATTCCACTTAGAGAATGAGATGACGGTCACGAGGACCCCGGCATCAAGAAATGCCTGGGCGGCGCCGAAGCCGATACTCTGATGATATTAGTCTTTTAATGGGGAAGGTAAGGTTGAGGAGTGCGTACCCAGATGTCCCTCCTACGACGATAACCTTCTCGCCAACAAGCGTATCCCCTGATCTGACTATTTTGCGCAATTAGTCCGGATATCAAATGTAGGGTTCAATGATTCAATCGTTGATTTATCGTTGATCAGAGGGCAGGAATGAGGGGGAAGGGCACTGATTGATATGTAATCGTAGGCTAACTTATGAAACAAAGAGGGGTGGATCCCGTAGGAATCGGTAGGATAGAGAGAAAATGGGTCACCATTGTTTGGGAAATACTCAAGCTCACATGTTTTGACCCAGCGCGTCTGACTTTCAACGAAATGGTATATGCATCCCATATAATGCAGCCTTCCAAACGCCAGTGCCGTTTCCCAGTTCCAATCCATTCAAAACCATGCAAATCCCTTATTCAAACCCCATCTCTTCATCCTCATCACTTACGCCGCCGCCGCCAGCACCCTCATCCTCCTCCCTCTCTCGCCTCGCCGTCTCCCTACTGCTGCCCAGCTTCCTTAGGCCATCCATAACGCCAACGATAAAAGCCCTGCCTTCACTAACCTCCATGGCTCCCACTCCGTTTAGACTACTCACACCCCCTCCTTGAAGGTCTTTCGTACTCCCCCGCATTTTCGCCATCCTGACCTCCCGCAAATCTCTCAACAACGTACGCACCCGTCCCGGCTCCTGCAGATCATCACTACAGGCCTCCAACAAGATCTCGCCGAGCTCGAGCCAGTGATAGGGTAGGTAATCGGGGGGCGCGTCAGCAGTGGAGGAGGGCAGGAAGGGAGGGGAGATGGTGTCTGTATGTGAGGGGACCGCCCGTATGGGATATGGATGCGGAGGAGGAGACGAGAATCCTTGGGGATCGATTTCGGTTTCCTGCTTGAGGATTCGTTCAAGTGAAGAGGGGAGAAGCCAGGGGGGTGGGAGGATGTTGGCTCGCCGTTGGCGCTTTAAGAGGAGGGCAAGCCAGAGTGGTAATGGGGCCCGATGGGGTGGGCGGAGAGGTTGTGTTGGGCCCTGCGATCAAATCATCAGTTTGACTGAAGATATAATGCGGAGGAAAGCTGGAGGGAGGGGCTGGAACGCGGGGTTGGTGGGGTAGAACGAACTCCAATTAAAGCGAGACTCTCGAGTCTTTGACGCGGGACTACTGTGACCATTTCCATTTCGCAGAGGAAGGCCACCTCTGCTGGCGTTAGGCCAGGTGGTAGAGGTAATGCCATGGTGGATTGGCCGATGTCTTGGAGGGTTTGGACGCGGTCTGGATTTCAGATGAAGACGCGCTGAGAATCCTTGCCTGATATATGAGGTTATCATTGCGCCGGACTTCGTTACCAGACACATCACAATACTTATATCACGTGATGCTAATCTCATCTCCATCGAAGCCCCGGTCAACACTTCTACGCTTGTCGCGAATGCGATGTGCAACAAATCTCTCTCGTATCACGGGCATAAAATATCACATGATGCTAATCCCATCCCCATCGAAGCCCCTGCTCAACACTTCCACGCTTGTCACGGATGCGATGTGCAACAAATCCCCCACATCACGATCCCAATATCACGTGATGCTAGTGCTTTACCTTGAATTGGGACGTTGATTTCTGAATAGCTACAACGTAGTGGAGAGGAGGTTATCGACAAGAGCAACGCCTGTCGATCGTACCGGGTCAGCCACAGGAACGAGAAGATTATAGAACAGGCTAGGGGTTTGCAACTCGACAAGACACCCCAATTTCTACAACAATTGTATTCTGCGCTCTGTTGAGCGTACAACGTGGCTATCTGTCGAACGGAGCTAGTTATACAAGGACTGATATTGGATATTCCCGCATTCAATAAGGTAAGCTAGTCTCTGTTGGCCCCTGTCAGTAAATATCCAGGGGATATCGCGTCTATATAGAATAGCTAGTTACCCTTCTTTTCACTTCAATCAAGTCATTAACCTCATTAACCTCTGTCCGATCCCTTCCGGCTTGACACTATCACACACTGATCGGTGTTCATCCCGGTAAAGAGAAGCGTTCGAATCCCCTCTCTCTTGAGATACTCGGTACAGTCAGGCGTTGCATCACACATGCCCGAGTTTCTGTTTTTGGGGATTAACAAAACCTTGGGGGAGACGTTGACGACGGAATGGAACGTTAACATGGAGGACTTCGAGTTTGTGACTGTTTCATCGATCCCAGGCCGTGATGCGGCTTATGAACCCACGATCCCAGCGACTTTGGACGCCTGGTCGAGAGGCTGTCTGACCGTTGTCAATTCTCTTGTCGCTGTCAATTTTCTTCTCGTTGTCAATTTTCTTCTTGTTGTCAATTTTGGTCCCATCTTCCAAGTGGATTTCGTAATAGATGTCCCTGGCTAGAGCTATTGCAGCACTGCAAATCCCATCGCCTTCCACACCCCCCTGGCGATCCCACCGAGCTCGCGTGCCGAGAAGACCAAATCACCCTCTGTTGTTCCTGGCCGTGGTCGTCGTTCAAAAATCTTTTCAAAGGAGAGGCAAAGATTTCCATCGGCCATTGGTCTCCCCTCCTCTAGTGTAACATCTATTACTTGATCCACCACTGCGCGCGGCGGATGCTGCGTTTGGGTATCCGTCCCCTCAGGTGCTTTTCTCCAGAGGGTAAAAACAATCTCTGGTCTCGTGCGGTGAATCTTGATCGTGATGACCTGCGTTACATGTGAATCATCGTTTTCTAACCAAATCTTTGCATCCCGGCCAAGAGCCCGGCTGCTCTCTGAGACGGCTGACAGTGATTCCACTACCAAAGTAGGATAGTTAGCTTCCCGAGGAGCCCACGACGCGTCCGGTTCTTTACAAACATTTCCTACCATTATTGTCCATCTTCCGGTAGGGCTAAGTTCATCCTCGCAGTTCATATTGTTTTGTTTTGAAGCTATGAGAATGTCCAGACGCCGGCTAGCCTCTTCGTGCGGTCTGCTTGGCATCGTGAGAATAAGAGTTTTTGAATCTGTGAGATATAACGCCTTGCGGTGTCGTAGGATAGCAGATTCGTCGTCGACGGCGTCGTAGTCGTCCTCATCAATATCAAAGCTCTCGATCGGAAAACCTGTAACGAGGGCAGTATGGTCACAAAGGGGATCGCGATCTAGGGCGTTGTAGAAGAAGGCGCGGAGGGTTCTTGCAAGGTTATCACGATCCGTAAAGTGAAACTCAGCTTCCACATCTGATAGCCATTCGGGATCCACGCCCGATCCTGTGGGGGGTTCCGAAGTCATGTTGGTTGCAGTCGTCTTATAATCGCCTTGTCGTGAGATATAGGTAAGAGGCTTAGTTCTCTAAAGAAGAAATATTTAAATCGGAGGTAGAGAGGAGAGCGGAGAGAGGTGCTAGGGGGATTTAGACTCTTATATCTCTCTCTTAATAACCTCAAGTAGAGTTACTATAGACACCTAGCCAGGGTAGATAATCAATCATCAATGTCATGACGTTTACAAATGTTATGTAAAAAAGACAGAGTCACGTCATCAAGTTATCAACTACCACGAATGCTCTTGTTATATAGATTCGATTAGGTTATAGCTCAGAGATCCCTACCTTAGGTAGTTTTCAGGACATGGCGAGAGCAAGTCAGATCGCTGTTATTGAAAATTACTGAACTAAAAAGGGGATTTTCAGTCGATAGAAGAACTAAATACATTGTCAAGGGTATGAGCTTACGAGAGCGCAGGGAACCAATGATTAGTTCTGCAACTTCTGTGGGCAATTACGTGCAGAGACTGAAGTCAAGTGGAAGTGCAATTGTGTCAAACAAATGGGAAGTTATATCACAAAAGAGGTAGAAATAACAGGGCGAATGAATTCAAGTAGATTAGACCTACTTGATCTCACCGCTATAGGTACCGACCGCCGGTTATCATTTCTAGTAAGCAAAGTGTAGATCTATAAGAGATCAAATATAATTTCAGCTTAATCTACGTAACAACTGAACTGGACTCTGCTATTAATATAGCACTCTCCTTTGTACCTGAGGTATAAGAGTAGTTAGTTAATAGTTACCCCTCGTTTGACTTCAATTAACTCATTATCCTCTGTCCGATCCTTCCCATGTGACAACAGCCCTTCCTGGTATAAAGTCACTTCATCCTTCCTAGCCCTCCCCGGCCACAGCAGTAAAGCAACCAACGCAGTACTTCAGTTTGCCTCGAACATGGTCTACCCCTCCATCAAAGGCTGGGCATCATCATCATCATCATCGCCGCCATCAAAGCTACCAAATCCACTGGATGGTGGTCCCTTGCTGGATCAATGAAAGCTCCGATATTGTTCGTGTCCCAACTCCCGTACGTACCTATATATGTGTCGATGAAGGAAAGGCAATTACATACGACCACAGACTGAGGAGAACTGGGCATCCCGTCCGCTCTGCCATACAGAGAATTGATAGCGACAAGAAAATTGACAACGACAGGAGAATTGATGGTGTCCCCGGAACCCGGGAGGCTGGTTCTCTGTTCTTGCGAGTGGTGAGCTGCTCAGCTGCGTAAGGCAAGAGTCTCTCCCTGGCATAGGAGTTGATTGCCAGAATTGATGAACGCCACAAATCCCCAGGAGGTGTCTTCTATTGGGAGGCACGTCCAGATGGCAATGGGCATTGCCAGCAGAATGATGGATGATCTGCTATCAAACGTCCCTTCCAGAGAGATCTGAGATGAGTCAACGGAGGGCGGTATGTTGATTGCCAACCATTTATTCCAATTTCCGAGGGCAGAAATCTTCATGCCGTCTTTCAGAGGGAGATCAGTACGCGCTCCTCACCGTGCTTCAAAGGCCCGATCTGTTGTGTCTTCAGCTTCTTGGTTGGCCTAGTCTTGCCCAGCTTTGTCTCGCTCGGAGCCTCCATCTTCTGCAGGATAATGTTGCTTTTTGTCGCATGTGGCACATAGATGGGTGCTTGTTTGATCTGGTTTTCGTAGGCGCCTCTGTGTATCTTTGCGAAGATGTGCGCGACCGAACAAGGAGCGCCGTCGAGCTCCCGTAACTCCTGAGCCAATATTCTTGTGAATGAAGTGTTGAGCTTGCTTCACGCAGACGAATCCTAATCCGCTACTCCCAGAAGCTCTGGTCCATCTCCAAAGGCCAATTGACCAGCACAGCAGGAGTCAAAGATTTAGAGCACGTCTGCTTGTTGGGATTCAATAAGTTCGCCAACAGAGGGCCATTTGAGACTAGGTCCAGTAAGCTTCCCATGAGATGCTCTACCACTAGAGATTACTAGCTATACCTTCTAAAACGAAGACTATAATGAAAATTCTTTCCCAAGGTTGAGGTATAGCGACGGAGAGAAGCGTAGCCCAGGACTTACGCAATCATATAATCGCTAGATTTTCCTTGTTCCATTAAGATGCCGTGGCCCGAATAGACAAAGATGTTCAGAGAATCCTTATCGTCCCATTTATTCAGGAAGCTCCGGATTGCCGACTGGAGTCCGAATATGATATTTGTCTTTGAATCATTGGTCTGGATCACAAAGCTCTCTACAGCGAACCCGTAGTTACTACACAGCGCAGTTAGCTTTGAGTTTCATAACTGGATCAAAAAGATACTTACTTTTCAAAGACGTCGAGCAATTCCTTCTCTGTGATATGGACGTCCCTGGTATCATTTGACCAGCGTATTGCAAAGACAGCAACCTTTCAATAGCCTACCTCTTGCGAAGGTAGGGCTTTTGTTAATCTACGGATAGATTAGCAAGACAAGTCCTTGTCGACTCGGCGTGTGAGATTAAATTATTGAAGTAGACGAAGAAGAAAGTTGAGGGAAGGTTGGTAATGTTAGAGGAAGAAGAAACAAAGGTCAAGAAAATCCAACAAGGTTCGACTATATGCACCTCTGCCGTTAAGGTTAATTCTCGCTTAGCAGTGAATCATATGTACTAAGTAGCTAAGGTAGCTTAGATACTAGTGGAGAGCTGCAAATTCAACTTACCTCCCTTCCCTACCTATATTCGTACTTTCTAAGCAAGTAGGCAGATGGCTCACTTATCGGTGAACATTAGGTCCGAAAACGCGTTGAGCCATTCCCATCAGACGAAGTAGCGGTAGCTGAACATGAACAGCCTGCATGTCTTGCGCACAGCGATTTCTCTGTCGACGGCGCGATGCTGCAGCTCAAGGCTTCGTTTCCGGGTCAAGAAAAGTATTTAGAAGACGAGGAATTTGACATCCTCAAGTTAGTGATTCCCAATCTTGTTTCCGATTTTATTTCCTGCTCTTACTGTGAGTCTTACAAGTGCAAACTGTGTGTGGACACTGTGGAGGCCACTCACTGGAATTTGGACCGAACTATGATTGGCCATTAGCGCTCTATGACTTATACTTCCATCGACCCTGAACACGATACAAGGTAAGCATCGCAGATGTGTTGCACAGAGACCGAATCGGCGAAAACTATACCAGGAGCTCCAAAGCAATCCACAGTCCACTGTATTATCTCTTGATTAAAACCCAACTTAAGAGCTCTAAAGTCCTAATCACAACAAAAAAGAAACAGGATCGCCTTGTAGCAGACAAAAAAAGTGAAGAATTGCAAAAAGAATAAAGAAGTTAAAAAGTAAAGGAATACATCGCACTCCAAGTGGGACTCGAACCCACAGCCTCAAGATTAGAAGTCTTGCGCGCTACCATTGCGCCATTGGAGCAATTGCGTGGCGGAAAATTCGCTAGCTTGGTTCTTGACGCATAGGGGCGTTCTGATGTAGAACTGTTTTCTGGAGGACTGCTTGATGGTTTACTAGGCTGGTGAATTAATGGAACTGGATACTTTTTGACCTCTGGTGAAATTGGGAATTTATCTGGGAATAAAGAAAGTATCGCTCGCACTTTATACCCCTATCTAGCCTTTGCGAAAAATCAAATCCAAAATGAAGAATTCAAATAGGGGAAAAAAAGAAGTTGTTAAAGTTAGAATGACGTCGTTAAGAAAGGAGGGGATTTTTGGGAGGGAGAGGGGGGGCGGAGGGTCGATATTTAGGCGAGATACTTGTACCATGGTTCATAAACATACTAGTAGTATACGATACAGGTGAACTTTTTATTTACGAGGCATTTCAAATCTAGAATATGGAATAGTCTTTACTACATGTTCTATTGTAGGATATTAGGATAAGAGATAGGCGCGTTCATAAGGTTGATTTTACTCGGATAGGAGATTAGAATAACGATGTCAAGAAAAAGGGGGGTCGATGCGACGATAGGTATTTAAGCGAGACACTGTCAGACTTGTGCCTAATAAATGCGCTACCATTGATCAGTATAGATTCAATTCAGGTGACATCTCATTTACGAGGCGTGTTAAATGCAGAATGTGGAATTGTCCTTGCTATGTCCTATTATTAGATAGGTAGGTACAGTAGGATGATATCATTGATATGGTAAGGTATAAATAGAATAAGAGATGGACGCACTGTCGCTTATAGGGGTTGCGCTTATCGTGGTGGGAAAAGTGGAAAGTTAAAGTTGTGCTTTGCATATACATATGTATATGATAGTATGTATAATGGTGATATTGCATGTAAGGTGTCATTGAGGCGTTGTTGAGCTTTGCTTTCAAGTTATGCATGTACATCCTAAGGGGGTTCGAATACGAGTGGCCGTGCCGCCAGGATCCTGGGACATGAATTGGACTTGGAGGATGGTCAGCAATGGTCCAGAGGGTGCTCAATATGGGAATTTTGTATAGCGAGAGGGAGATAGTAGGTGTAAATGTGGAGTCACGAAAGGTTAGCTGACCTGGATATTCTAATTTCTATCTAATATTTCTATTCCTATAGTAGTACAGTAGATACAGTGGGGTTCTACCTAAGAGTCCCTCCCTGTATCTATTCCCTTTCGCCTGAAATCCGGACCTGGAATAACCTGATCCTTATGTCCCTTTACTTGCTTCCAGGCATAAAGCCTCCCAATCAAACCAAATCAAATCAAATCAAATCATACATATATCATACTCATATACTCGTACAAAACTCATTCACGAATCACATATCCCGGGCTGGCGTGCATATCGACAGCGGGACATCGGCCCATATCGTGCCGTCATGAGGCGGATTCGCTTCCCCCAAAATAAAAACAAAATGACCCATAAGCCCAGGAAATACTGGATGCCGACGATCTGGCCGAATGCCTGCTTCAATCCCGCTGCTTTGATCCAGGGGTACAGCCAGAGGGTCAATAATGTGGCGATGGTGCCCCTGAGAATAGAGGCTGCTGCCGCCACTTCGGAGGCGAAAGGTAGGTAGGAATCTAATATGTAGGTGTAGAGGATGTTCGATGCGGCGGTGAGACCGAATCCCTGCATGGCGTACCCAACAGCGGGCGCGATCCAAGGTTTGTGGTCCGCCAAGGTGAGACTGAAGAGGATGATCCCCATGGGGCCGACGATGAGAGGAATAATTATAGCCCATAGTCGGTATTCGGGCTCACGGCGGCCTTCGTGAGAAGTGGTGAAGCGATTAGAGATTATATCAATGAGGTAACCGCCGAAGAATAAAGCGATCGCGCAGCCGATAAACCCAGCAATCGAGAGTAGTCCCAGAGATCTGGTCTGCCAGCTGTAGTAAGATGGCAAGATGAAGAATTGCGCGGAGGCGAGTTGCACTGCAACGCTCCTGCTCTTTATATTAGCCTGGATGGGTAAGGTAGACGAGAACAGGGGAAAATACCCTCCAATAAAAGCACCAACTGCAAGACCAGAACATAGAGTGCCAGGATAAGTAAGGATTGAGATGAGGTTTCCGGTAGACTTGATAGCACACCCGTCCCCGTTGTAACCACTGGTGATGCTCAAATTTTGCCTGAAAGTCTTCGTTTCGCCGTAACTCGTTGCCGGGGCGTAGACATTGCGGTCGTGATAGCTCGTCTCACGAAGTGTAAAGATGCTGACAACCCAAAGAAATCCCACTAGAGAGGCAATCACAGTGCAAGATAGCCTCCAGCCTGAATGTTGCACACAGAAAGCGCTGATAAGAGGACCAATAAAGAAACCGCCGGACATAGCGGCGGAGAAGAGCATCATGGCTGCCCCTCGCTGTTGGACAAAGAAGAGGTCGGCTACCACAGCAGGCACAGTGGCATCTGCTGCCGATGAGGCAAAGCCGGAGAGCATAGAAGATGCGAGAAGGGAGTTGAACCGGCCTGCGTAGCGTGACCATACATTTGTGCCCACGAGGAGGGCCATGGCAGTGAGATAAATTGGGCGTTTGCCAACGCGACGCATGATGGGCGCCCAGAAAATGTTTCCAAGGCCCAGGAGAAGTACATTAAAACAGACTTGTTGGCCGGCCCGTGTTGGTGTGACGTTGAACTCTTTTGCGAGAGGAAGGATGGCAACGGTGAACTTCGAGGCGCTACATGTTGCAAGGAAGGAAAAGCAGCATATTGTCAAATAGGTCGAGTACTTCTGCCAGGTTGACCAATTCTGAGAAATATATCAGCCGCTGCCAGTGGAATCCAGCGGAGTATGCTTACCAAGGGGTCGTTTGGGTCCAGCGAGGGCTGAGGACTCATTGCAAACCTGCCAACATTTTGTGTACCCAGAATTGTGCCCACCAGCTCAGACCTTAACTCATATTCATCTACCCTCCGGCTTCCCCAGGTCTGAGAAGATGAGGTCGAATTCACAGACTGCTTGCGTGGTTCATGGTGGGAAGTCCATGGTGAGATTTGTGGCTGAGAAGCCAATTGCCGTACCTGGATGAAATCCAGCGTGGTCTTGGGGATTTCCAGCATGAATGCGGAGCCCACAGTAAAAGAGCGTTCGAAACAAAACCGTGGAATCGATGGTGACAGGTCTCACTGGAGAGATGAACCATGCCGATGAAGATGGGACTTGGAACATTATCTATCCGCCCTTCGCCATGGGCGCACTGTTCAACCTCCTCGACATATGTATAAACAGAGCGTTCCCACGCCACCAAGGGGACGTGTAGAATACTCCGAACATGAACATGGTATTGTATGCAGGTAATGCAGCTATTGATTCTGACGATCGAGCAGACGATCAGATCGTGAATCTTTGGCTTGAATGCGGTCCGTGCAAACTGGCCAATGTTGAATTGTCGTTGGATGCGATCCCAGCTCTGCTTAGGCCCGGGGAAGATAACCCGCCGCCAATTCTTGACGGCTTCAGGCTTCAGCCACAGGTGCGGACCCTCTAAGAGCGACAGGGTAATATCGTGTGGCTGACGCTGTTGAGAACGTCGCATTGGCGCTCCACCATGAACTCTCCTGACTCAGGTCAACGAGGCCGCTGCCATTGTATGGCTGGCTGGTCGCCGTCGTCAGGACAGAGGAGGCGGGTAGGAGATAAAAGAGCCCGAACCCTGAACTCTCTAATAAAACTGCTTAACTTCACTCACTTCCTTTATGGAACTGTCTGTATACTTGTACAACGACCTGGACGGGCCCGTAAACTCTTTGAGTTCAGGGCCTCATAGGACGAAAGCTGATCGAAATCCCCATCAGCTCTGGGAATCTATCTCAATCCGTTATCATTTTCCTGTACCTTACATATCACATTCCTCGTATACTCTGCATCCCTCACATACTGTGCATTTCTCACATATTCTGTAAGTATGTATAGTAAGCCTCTGATGTAACTTGAGCCCTCACCTACGACGTATCGGTGGTTGTGGGTGGCGGGGTAACAGAGTTTTGAGAGCATCTTCAAACTTTATATTGTAGAACTACTGTATGTATCAATAGAATGCACAGACAAAAGCTGAGGTTTCGTACTGTAGTAGTGAGGGCGCCGAGGGACTTAGCCGCGGCTCATATCAGTGTCCTGCATCGACTCCTGAATCGTTCTCGACGCCACCTACATTCTGCATTCAACACCTTTGTTTCCCCCAAAAATGCTCCGAGTACCAACCACAGTATATAAAATCTGGCCATTCAAACATGAGTCGGCAGGTGGGCAACGTCATATCTCTTCATCGTCAAGAGGGAGAGAGTGCGTTTTTGCAGATAGCAGTCCAAGCGGCTCGATGCTCCATGCCATTCCGTACAGATATCAGGAGCCAAAATCTCCCCGTGTCCTATGGTAACATGCTAAGTGGGTCGTTCACCGGCCACTGCGGCCAGAATCTTATCCAGTCTCTAGCTACTGACTGTGCATTCTGCTATCAGCTTTCAATACCAGACTCGGACCTTCCGATAGCTGGAGGTCACTTTCTGGCTCGAGCACTCTCTCCATAATCCTTCGGAGGTATTCTCTTTCGTTCTTCTCCCCACCTGTCAACCTTCTCCTCACCTGCCAACCTTCTCCACATCATCCATCCTCCCTCCCATCCTAAGGATCTGCCCCTGTCCATCATTTTCCACCCCACACTCCTCAAACTCTCTTCCCCAGCCCCGCTAAGACCAAATATCTGAGATTCCCCATGAGCCACATTGATCGTCATTCAGAATTCCCTGGACGTGCAAACTCAAAAGGTGAACCGTGGGTGATTCCCTTTGTGGTCCAGCTGCAGCCGGAACGATCGTACGCATCGCGCAGGGAAAGATGACTTGCTTCGAAAAGGCTCATCGCAGGACAATCTTTGGATCTCGATATTCCCGTCTCAAATCAGAATATGGCATGTGGGTACAATAGGATGTACGATATGGCAAACGCTCAAGCAATATTCGACATGTGCATTACCAGTGCAGTGGGCCATGGTTCGTGAGCCCGAAGAGAATTTCTCTCCTCGAGAACTGATGAGTAGAACATAGCATTTCTGGGCCAAGTGATGAAAGACGGCTGCTCTGGACAGCTGGGTTGAATATCAGTGATGCTCATTCACAGAGAGATGCACTTGCATGACAACAATTCTAACTGAGAACGAAGCTACAGACGCATCTGTCAACATCAATGTTCGAGCGCAACAACATATATAAAATATTGAAAAGTGCATTGGCCCTCATGGAGCAAGCTGCAGACATATTTCGCATCCGCTGGATGCAGTTCCCTATAAACTTTGACCTTGAGAATACGAGTTTGGGCTCCCAGCACGCTCACCTGAAATCATCAGATACCAGTCTCCACGTACCTTCGACAATCCGACTTATCAGATAGTTGATTCTCCCTTCAATTCACGGCCCGCTGGTGAGACTGCCAGTTCGATAGACGACAGGAATAAACTATGCAATATCGAATGGAGTTCCGACATGAACTCATTATCATAAAGCCATAGCCTCATTCTGTCCAAATCCCATGTAGTTAATCCCGAATCCTACCTCCTGAACGCCTTTGAAACTCCAACTATTTCAGATTCCGTCCCTGCTCGTGCCTCTCTCATCCCCACTAATATTCCCCTCACAATTTCAGCCCTGCCTTCCTCCCAACCCACTCCCCATCAACCAGCACGCACCAACCCTCACCTCCCCTTCCCCCATCACCGCCAACGGCAGCCTCAAAATCCTCCTTCGCCTTCTTCAAGATCTCGTCATCGAAAGTGCCCGGCTGAAGCCATACGCCCTTGATCCCGAGCTTCTTCGCTTCCTCAAGCACCTTCGCCGTGACCTTCGGCGGTGTGATGATACTCACAGATGTCTCCGTGGGGTGTGGTAGAGCTGAGAGGTTGGGCAGTGTAGGGTATTCTTGGATTTCGAGGGCGGGCCACGGGGGGAAAGCCTTTATGGTAGCGGAGCCGGGGTTGATTGGCGTTACTGGAAGGGAGTGATGGGTGTACCATGTGAATACTGTTTGACTTGTCAGTACGATATCTCTGAAGGCGATTGAAGGTTCTGCGGAATGGAGGGAGATGCACTCTTGTGTCCGAATTTCGTGGGGTCGCTGGATGCGCCGACGACAGCGAAATAGGGCGCAGAGAAAAAGGCGCGGGCTGCTGCTTCTGTTGTCATGTTGTTGCTAATACCGTGAATATTCCTTCTGCAAGAGAAAGTAAAGAAGGGAGATGATGATCGCAAGGGAGTCTTTGGAGGTTTATTAAGAACGGAGTGGCCCGTGGCGACGGCGCGATCTGGAGGGGCAATTGCGGGATGCGGAGCCAGGGTCCTGGGGTTCAAGTATTGATGACGGAGGAAAAGCGAAGCTCGCACAGGGTCCCGAACTCGCCCAACTTTCATCGGTGACATTGGATCTGTTTGGATACAAAGGAGTCTTGATGACCTGGGGATGTTGATGACTCTCTCGGGATCATGTTGTTTTAGGACGGACGTTTGGGTGCTGGAGTTGTATATAAGGGGCGTGGAATCCCTCGCCCGCTTGCTACGATAGTCTCCAGGAACTACAGCTTCATCATTCCAATATCCCAAAGCAGTTGTTTTTTGTCTAAGGTATTCGAGATACCTATCTTCACTACTTTCGTTTGTTTTCCCATCTTGTGCCGCAATCATGACGACCTTCGCGCAAGTACTCCCTCTCTCCCTCCCTTCTATTCACAGCTTACTTCTTCCCCAGGAAAGCGACCTTCAGCGCGGCGAGCTATGCCACCTTCCGGCCCTCGTACACTCCAAAGATCTTCTCGACAATCCTCTCCTATCACCAAGGACCCAAGTCCCTCCTCCTGGATCTTGGGTGCGGCCATGGGCCGATGACCCGCGAGCTCTCCCCCTCCTTCACGAGCGTTTTGGGGACCGACCCCTCGGCCGTCATGGTCGCGCAGGCCCGGTCATCCACCCCTCCAAAATTTTCCAATATAACCTACAAGCAAATGACTGCGGAAGATTTATCTGGGATTGAAGACGGCGCAGTGGATATGGTGGTTGCAGGGCAGGCGGCGCATTGGTTCGATTACTCCAAGGTCTGGCCCGAATTGAAGAAGAAGGTTAGGACGGGGGGAACGCTAGCGTTTGTTGGCTATAAGGATAATATTTTCGTTGATTATCCAGAGGCTACCAAGGTCTTGGATCATTACTTCTATGGATCTGATACCCTGGGCCCGTTCTGGGAACAACCGGGAAGAAACATTTTGAGGAATAAGCTCCGTGCGATTGTTCCCCCTCCCGAAGATTGGGAAGATGTGCAGAGGGTTGAGTATGAGCCGGGCACGAAGGGGCGCGGCAGTGGTGAGGGGACTTTGTTAATGCACAAGAAGCTGAAGTTAGGTGAAATGGAGGGGTACGCGAGGACCTCTTCGAGCTATCATAATTGGATGGCAGCGCATAATGAACAGAAGGCCAAGAAGGATGGTGGCCCGGGAGACATTATAGATGAGATGTTTGAGAAGATGTTGGAGGTTGAGCCGGAGTGGAAGGCTCAGGGCGAGAGGTGGAGGGATTTCGAGGTTTATACTGAGTGGGGCAGCGCGATCTTGCTGGCGAGGAAGAAGTAAATGTCTTGAAGATGTCTTGGTGAAGGGAGATAGATGTGTCTTTATAGGAGAAGGCTTGATGCCAAGGAGCTCTGCAGATGGGCAGGTAAATAGCACAAAATATGTAGCTAAAAATAAAAAATAAAAAAGTAAACAACAAAGCAAAAGAGAAATAGATAGAGGAAGTCTTGGTTGAATGACCTCCCGCTTTGAAGTAGGAACTGGTATTATCCACATTCACTACCTTACAGAAACAACATCAATCCGTTGCGGCTGCTCTGGGGGTGGAATGCCCCTATTCTCGACAGTCACCGCTCCCACTCTCCGTTGCCATGCCACCGCCAGAACCCACATTCTACCAAACGCAGCGCCCAAGGCACGGACCAGACATAGAACGTCTTACTTTCTCCTTGACGATCATCAATAGTACCTTTCTTCTAACCTTTTCTTCGACCTCGAAACATTGCTTCAGAGTTCGTCCTCAACAGAGTCGTTTATCATGGTAAGCAGTCCCCTTCGCTTTTGTTTACTGCCTCCCCGTGTGGCCGCGCGGAATCTATTTTGGCGCTATCGGCGAGGGAGGAAGCGCGAGGACTGGTTTGTTGACGGCGAGGGGCGGGAACGAGGGTGCTGGCGCTCTTGTACCGCACCCTTCTACCCATCAACAAAGACATCACCACTCAACCGTTCAAAGTGGACGCACACCTGTATCTTCTTGGTTTTCGGAATCAATAGCTCGTCCTTCTCCGCTTCGGATCAACTCTACACTCTGCACTCGCACACTTGTCTTCTTTCTCCTTTAATTCGTTGCTCGAGCCTTGCAAGGGACAGGATATAGTCATGGCAGCCTCTAATTACGATGCGCAGGCAAGCACAAACTACAAAGAAGCCTTTGCGCTCTTTGATAAGCGGGGCAATGGGCGCGTGGCTCTTGAATCCCTCGGTGATTTACTGAGAGCATGCGGGCAAAACCCGACATTGGCAGAGATCAGAGATCTGGAGAAGACCGTTGGTGCCGACTGTCAGTACCCTCACATCCCGAGACAAACCCTCCGCCAATTTGGCTATGGCTAACTCTGGATCCTGATATTATAGTCGATTTTGAGACCTTTTCCAAAATCCTCAACCGACCAGGCGGCTTCCGCGAGCCGGGTGAACCCGAAGAATACTGCAGAGGCTTCCAGGTATTTGACAAGGACATGACGGGTTTCATTGGCGTTGGCCAACTGCGGTACATCTTGACGAATTTGGGCGAGAAAATGTCGGATGAGGAGGTGGATGAGTTGCTGAAGGCTGTGGATACAGGAAATGGGGAGGTCAACTATACTGGTGAGTCTACGCCATCGCGCTGCCTTGGAGTTCTGGGGATGGGAAGCAATACGATTGGACTGTGAGCTAATGCGAATATACAGATCTCGTACGCACGATCCTCGCAAACTAGACCTTACCTCTCCTTATTACAAGTCGAAACGTAGGAACGAGCAGCTTAATGGGGAGTCATGGATCAGAAAGGGGAGAACATTCAATTGTAGGACATAAATATACAGCATGGATAGGGCTGTAACCTGGGGCGTTATTACTGTACGAGCTTGGAATTTCAGTTTTCATTGCAGCATGAGACCACGGATGATGAGCAGATATCAAACTTGGCTTCCTGTGGAGAAATAGTGTATTGTAGGAACATGACCTGCATCTATCCTTTCTTTCCTCTGATGCGATATCCCCATAACGCCTTGCTTTTTTGTGATTCCTCGCTATGCATTCCAGACCATCAAACAAACCAGATACCCGGAAGAGACTATTCGAACACCGGCACAGCTCCAGCCTTCCTGATCTCCAAATTATCCTCGGTGATCCATTTTGCACCCTTGTCATCCGTTCCTTTCTTAGCCATCACCTCCGTGCTCACTATCCCCGCAGGGAGGAGGTAAATAACCTTCCCCTGATATCCCTCACTAGCCTTTTCCTTCCCATCTAAATCCATACCATCACTATCGCTCAGGATCTCATAACCCACGACCAACGAACAGCGAGCGCAACGGAAGAGAAGCCGCTTTTCGAATCCGTCTTCGCGGCGGATAATCGTTGTCTTTTTATCCTGCGACACGCCTAGAAGGATACTATACCCCTCCGGCGGCATATCCTTCTGCGTTGCTACCTCCCCATCCCCTGGTCCCTGGTTTGCATCCGCATCTTCGGCCTGGGGTTCGGGTTCTGAGAAGGACGGAGGGGATGACGGCAAAGGCAATATAAAAGCAGAGTCAAGAGCTGGTGCTGCTCGGCGTGGCAAGCTGGAGAGAGTATGTGTTGTGGCGAGTAATAGGGAGGTACATATACAGTGGTAGGTGTGGACCTTTGGTGATAGGATGGTCATCGTGGACCAATGTGGGGTAGATGCGTTTGTGGGGAAGACAGGATTAGCAGCTTCACAGAGCTTTCGCGGACTGGTGGAGCCGGAGACACTTTTCTCTCGATGTAATGATAAGCTTCCTCGATTGAATGTGTCGCAAGTCGCAGTGGAGTCTGTTTTGGAGTGTTATTGAAGTTTGCAGGATATTCCAGCCTCCTTGAAGGGAAGAGCGGAGCGGAGCGGAGAGGAGCGGAATTTTTTGGCGAGGCCAAAATCTTGGCCTCCCGAACTTTAAAACCCATGCTCCACCCCACCAGCCTACGTCTCGAGCAATTGTGAGCAACTTCACATTGCTCAGCGAACGGCCCAGCATGTCCCACCGCTCGCTGCGCCTTCTGCGCACCTCTCGAGCCCCAATCCGAAACATCTTCCTATCCCAGTCGCGGCCAATTCCTTCCAGAATATCTATCCAGTCGGCTCGGCTCTCGTCGACTTCAGCAGCCGAAACCAAACCACCTACCACCCTCCTCCGGAATATCCTCTATGGCACCTCATTCTCTATCTTTGTCGCATTCAGCTACTACTACATAACCGATACCCGTGCCAGCGTTCACCAATGGCTTGTCGTCCCCCTCCTCCGTTGGCTCTACCCGGATGCCGAAGACGCGCATCACGTTGGTACCGAAGCTCTTAAGACACTCTACGCGTTCGGCCTACACCCCCGAGAGCGGGTTTCGAAGACAGAAGAGGCCAAAGGTGTGGATCTGAGCGTGGAGGTCTTTGGGCGGCGACTGTCCAACCCAATTGGAATCAGCGCGGGACTCGACAAAGCGGCGGACATTCCGGACGCGTTGTTCGCGTTGGGGCCGGCGATTGTCGAAGTCGGTGGAGTTACGCCTCTTCCCCAAGATGGGAACCCTCGACCACGAGTGTTCAGACTGCCTAGCCAACAAGCGATCATCAATCGGTACGGACTAAATTCGCTCGGTGCGGTAAACATGGCGGCACGGTTACGGGAACGGGTGCGGGTGTTTGCGTATAATTACTTTGGGATTGAGAGGGATGCCGAGGATTTCGTTCTTAATGGCGGAGCTGGCGTTCCGCCAGGGAGTCTCCAGGATGGGAAGATGCTTGTGGTTCAGGTAGCAAAAAATAAATGGACGAAGGACGATGATATCCAGGCTGTTACAAAGGACTTTGTGACGGCTACAAAGGAAGTAGCAGTGTATTCGGATATCATTTCCGTCAATGTCAGCAGTCCTAACACGCCCGGCTTGAGAACATTACAAAGGGTAGAGCCATTGACAAGGATATTAGAAGGCGTAGTGAATGCGGCGAAGTCCGTAAAGAGGCGCGACCCACCAAAGGTCATGGTTAAGGTCTCTCCAGACGAGGATAGCGAGGAGCAGATCCAGGGGATCGTCGAAGCTGTGTGGAGAAGCGGCGTCGATGGGATTATCGTCGGGAACACCACCAAGCGGAGGACAAACCTGGTCTCTGCAGACATTCCCGCGAAGGAGAGACAGACCCTAGAGGAGGAAGGCGGTTACTCCGGGCCTCAGATGTTCCAGCGGACCCTAGACCTAGTCAAGAGATACCGGAACCTCCTCAACCAAGGACCCTTGCCTTTGGAAGGAGCTTCGGGAGAGGGAGCAGGGGAAGGAGAGGCAGAGAAAAACCTCGCGAGCTCGGCCGGTGCAGTCTCAACACCCGATGAGCCCTCCTCCAATATCGTCGAGAAAATCGCAACGGTTAAGGACGCCCATGACGCCAGCTCAGCTGGCATCAGCGAGGCGCCCAAGCCCACTCGCGGCACGCCCGAGCCCAAGGTTATCTTCGCAACGGGAGGAATCACGAACGGCAAGCAGGCGCTCGAAGTCTTGAATGCGGGGGCCTCGGTGGTGCAAGTCTACACGGGCCTTATCTATGGTGGCTCGGGGACTATAACAAGAATCAAGAAGGAGATGAGAGACGAAATTTCTCGCAAATAGAGTGCGCGCTCGTTGTGGTGTGGTGTTTGGATTGTATATATGGTCTTTTTGTATAAAAGAAAAGGGTTAGAGCTAGACTGCCTATCATGAATCTCCTTTGTCTTTATCTTGCATCGTTAACCTCCTTGCGGAAGCTCTCGAAGTTTCCTATAGTGAATTGCGGGCTCACTCGGTCAGCGGAACTGCTTTCGTAGCTGGGATCCTACAGAATTGTGGTGGATACGGTCATATCATATCAAAGAAATAAAAACCATTACATCACCCAGCTCCTTTTCACGAAAATCAAACAGTCTGCCACAGGGATCTCATCATCTCACTGGATTCAGTGACAAAACCTTGCCTTATATACCAAGCATCATAGTTTCATAGAAGTACACATATTTTATATTCACTTTCCTTAAAGCTGACTCTTTCTACTCAGTATTTAGGAATGATTGGTGTCCAGTTGCTTGTCGGTTGGGGTGTATTTCGAGAAAACGTAGATGCCCATATGTTGTCAAAAAAGGGGCTCGCTTAATCAAAAGCGAAAAGGGGTCCTGTTCTGGCACGCATATGACAGTTATTGCCAATGGGAGGAGTGTTTAGATGATTATGCATGCTTCCATATAACTAGAGGGACAACAATGGTTGTTGAAGCTCAGACTTCTTGCTGTCTTGATGCTTAAAGAGAGGTAAGGGGGGTTTTCTTTCATTTGCAAGGTAGGAAGATACTACCGCTGTTGTATGGTTAAAATGTTACTTTAAAGATCTGAAAATATAGCATTCTGCATGAGTTGTTTATTATTGTATCTAGTTATTTGGAGTATCGTGTGTGCAATTAGAATGAAATGTCTGCCTGTAACCTAGGTAGGTAAGGTATGCAGTTGCCACAACATTGACCGCCCCATGGGAATTCCTACAGAGGAAAACAAGTTATGAGGCAATAGAACAAACTCTTATTGTTCATCAAGACTGAGGGCATTATTCTGCAGTCTATCTGAGACAGGAATGTGTGATTTTATATTGTCAGTCTTGGGGCTCAAACCCGGAATTGTCTTGACTGTTCTATAGGTTTGGATGTAATCTAGATGTGAAAAGAAAAACATCATAGCCAAACTGGTTATTGAAACATTATATAAAGTTTAGATGTCTATTGGATTTAGCATCCCAGATCTCAATGATGTCGTTTTGAAAAAGTGTCTGCCTCGACGGCCTTAGACATCGCTACGGAAACAGTCTACCCACGATAACCTAGGGGACACTCCGTAGACCTTTTCTCTACCTTTCCTCTCTCAGCTCCTAACTTCTCAACTTCCCAATCCTTCACCAAAACAACTTTGTCTCATAACATTGAGATACTATCATCCTCTGCCCAAGCATTACACCCTCATCACCATATCTCTCACAGCATCAACAACCATGGCAGGTGTTCCTTGCCCTCCTACTACCAATAGAGCCTTTGGATCTGCCCCAAATGGTACTATGCTGGTCCCCGAGCTCTGTGCAAATGGTTCTCAAGTCGCCTGCCCCAAGCCAGCTCTTGAGATATGCGAAGGTTGTCTCCTTGTAAAGGTAAGCCACTTAGATCTGAAGAACTAGCCCACCGAAACACATGCTAACCTTTCTCTTGCTAGTACTGCAGCAAAGAGTGCCAGAAGAATGACTGGGCTATGCATAAGAGAGATTGTCGCAAGGCGTGTATTATCGCAGAGAAAGACTGCCCTTATTTTGAGTCCCCTGACTATGGAAAGAAGCCTGTTCTTGTCTCGGTTTTTAGAGAGAACGCGCGTGGCCAGATCTACGAAGATAAGCCTACTGAGGCGGAGATTGCTGAGTATGGCACGGTCAAGGGACAGGAGATCTTGAAGCTTGTACCAGATGGATTGGAGAACACGAAGCACTTGTGGGGCAAGACGCCAGCTTTTGATATCTTGAAGCTCTCTACCAATGAGGGCGTGGATTATGACCAGGACTTGAAGCTCTATTTCGGAGGTGCCATGTTCAAGTTCACCTGGCTTCCTATGCTTTTGCTAACTTGAGATAGGAGCGGATGATCTTCGACATCTCATGGCGACCATACTCTCCGTCTCCGAGACCTACAAAGGCCAACTTTCAGTTATCGTCAACGAGTTGGATGTCGACCTCCAAATAAGAAATTTGATAATCATCCTGTTGGCAACTTTGGTTCCAGACGGCAAGGCGACCGAATTGATTACCCACTTGTGGTACTCTGCGTCGATTCCTTCAGAGATGTATTGCCTGGTCACCGAATATGTCTTGCCACGAGTAAAAATGGTTTGGGAGGAATGTAAGAAAGCCGCACGGGAGAGAAAGGAGGCAAGAAGCCAAGCCAAGGAGGAAAACAAAACCGAAAAGAAGCCAGCAGAAAGCTCCATCCGTCGGATGGTAGTAGAATCCGGAACTACCAGGTTGGCAATCGGCCTTGAGCCTCAACATTGGCTGCAACTGTACATCATGCTGGACCGTAACAATTTCCAAAGCATCCAGCTCGCAAGACAAAAGCGCCAAAATATCATATTCTCGATCAACCCAAATCATAAAAAGAAGCGATTCGAATTCTTTGCTGCACTCCCACCATGGCAGAGAGTAACCGAGGAAAGATACCGTCAAACTGGCGTTCTGCTGCCATACGGCGCATCAGCTGGTCATTTTGACTTACCAAACCCGTAAGCACTCTCTCCAGGAGAACCACCACAGAACTAATTCCCTAGCAGGACCTTTTACCATAGATCCAAAGGCTTTCTACTGGACCACCTTGCATCACCTCTTGATAACCAGGATTTGCCAAGACTCCATCAGACCTGTCATCGCTTAGGGATTCCACCCAATGATCTCCATGGAGCCTTGTTCTTCGAATCCAAAGCTCTTGTAAGTACCCAATCTTCATCAATGCTTCTGTTATCTGTCATATCCCCCAACGACATCTGACTTCAGTTTTGTCATCGATCCTGAATTCATCTTTTCGATTATTCAAATTCATTGGGACATTCAGATCAATCTTCCCCCCTGGATATGACTCCTTGTTTCCAACTCTTTGTCATTTTTAGGACATTCAAAATGATCTTTATCACTAGATATGAATTCCTTTCTAGTCATTCATCTGCTTTTGGATATTCAGAACCGACTGTATGCTTTGATCCGAACTAACTATGTTGTTCATAGGTTAAGTCCTTCTGCTCTCATCTGAAGAAGATCAACTCAAACTTAGTCTTCTCAAGCGAGCCTGGAAGCGTATTTTCGGCCAGATTCAAAGCGTTGTACGCTAGTCCTAAGGGACAATTTGATAGGATATTTTTGTCTGACCTGGTTGGCGATTTCAATCACTTGCTGTCCAGCGCTTTGACTGCCCTCGGTCCTCTTCTCAAGACTCCAGACGAGAACCCGCATGCCGTCCTCGCTGCCCTCCTCACCAAAGCTACCAACAATGTAGTAGATGATTTTCCGGGCAAGCGATACCGTGACACCCTCCCTAAATTAATGCCATACAAATGGTATCGCTACTCCGGATTAGCCAACGTCACTGCCTTGAAGAATAAAATGAGCTTTGCTGAGTGGAGACAGGACCTTCTGGACCACATGGAGATCCAGGAGGAGATGTATTGGGATATGTACGTCCACGCGTACGGCCTGGAGGCAGCGGCCGCCCGCGCTGGGCTGGTCATGAGGGAGGAGGACGAGATGAAGATTGCACCGGCTTGGCCCTTTCGTTTGACCTTGGCTGGGTTATCATTTCAGATGGAGCTGCAGTTGCTGCAGCGATTCACTTCTTCGATGAAGGGTAGCGAGCGTTTTGTCGAGTTTAGACGCAACTAGGTGAGTGGAGGTGGATCTTAGGATGAGAATTGTAGCTCAGATGAATAAAGCAACTTGCCTTGATACATTGTCTTTCAGCTGGTGATTAATGTTAAAAAAGATTTCAGTAATTGAGAGGTGATAAGAGTAAAAAATCTAGACAATTACGGAAAATACTATAGTAATCAAGAGGTAGTAAAAGTGAAAGGTTCGGACAATTACGGACAATGTCGTAGTAATTAAGATGTAGTGAGAGTAGAACATCCAGACAATCATAGGAAACAATGTAGTAACTAAGAGGTCGTGAGTGAAAGATTGAAGCAATTACGCAAAATAATGTATAAAGAGGTGGCGAAATAATATAACCATTCCAGTTATCTACTTTATGTGCACAACCTCGTGCTTTACAGTCACAAATCTAAGCAGTACATAGTTCACGCAGCTCAACTAAGAACCGCGAGCTTTATGGAAGTTTTGTTTGTATTTATTTGCGCCTAATTCCACGCTGGCTTCTTGCCTAATGTACAAGGTCTAACGCCGATGATGCAGTGGTTTCTACTGCCCTTGCATACCCGCCACATCATTTCAGAATGTTCACCAGGAATAAGCCTATCCCCAGATTTAACGCTGTGGCTTCAAATATCTGTTCATGCTGATAGACCCCGCTTCTCACTCTCGGAAAAGAAGATTATCATACGCCATAATTTCTTGACTAAGGCTTCTGCTTCCTCGTCCAATGCCTGTATCAATGATTAGCACATGCCATAAGAATATTAGCAGAGGCAAAGAAAGGAGAACTTACACCCTCCAACAGTTCTACTAGCTCCCCCGGCTTCTTGCGCCCCCTAACGTGGTCTTCGACCACCTCCACCAGAAGCTGCTCCTGCACACCAAGATACTCCACGATCTTCTTCTCCACAAACGGTCGCAACTTCTCCACTATAATCGCATCATCAACATAATCCCACTTGACGTCCCATTGCCAGAGTCCGTCTTTCTCAGTAGGAATCTCTGCCGCAAGTTGGCGGACTGCCTGATCTCTCTCCTCATCTGAGAGGGCAGCAGAGGAAGTAGATGGATCGAACTTGATAGGGATGAGTGTACGTTTTGAGGTCTTAGAGACATCCTCTTCATCTTCCAGTAGTCCTTCAACTTCAGCGACCGTACGCCGGGGTGGTGCAGCTTTCTGGGCTTTTTGTGCCGCCGCGCCAAGAGAGAGCTTGAACGGTTGTTGCGCACCCATTCTCGAGGGTCTGGACTCCAGTTCCTCGGCTTGTCGCTCAAGGAATGAGTCTGCCATCCCGCGAGCTTGCTCTTTATCTGCCAGGTCACGCTGTCGCTCTCTCTTCTCCGCCTCCCGGTCCCGTTCATCGGCTGCAGCCTCACGAGCACGAAACGTTGCTCGAGTCCGAATCCACATGCTGCGGTCGCTGTAATATTCATTGGTCTTTCTTGATGCTTCCAAGTCATCATCCCACTCTGCTAATCGCTTTGCCATCTTTTCCTTCTCTGCATCTGCGTTCGCTGCATCCTCATCTTCGCGCTCCTTCTCTCGTTGGACAGCTGCAGTACGAGAGCGTTCGCGGTTCAGCCAGCGTCGTTCCTGGTCTAGGTATTGCTTTTCTTGTTCAGCTTGTTTCTTGGCGATTCGTCTGTTCTCAAGCTCCGAATCAGATGCTGAATCATCTTCGTCCTCGCGGTCAATCCAGACTTGATTACCATTTGTGCCGCCATTCACAAATGTAACGCCTTTTTGATAGTCTCGTGGGATTTGCATCCCTTGAAGCTTTGGTCCAGAAGGTGCATTAGGCACACCTCGGGGACCGAGAGGAATGTTGTTGGAGCCAGCTGCTGGACCGTTGGGGCCTTGAGGTCCAGGCGATGCTAATCTCGACGGTCGAGGACCGCCATTTCGTTGCCGTTCCAAGGCCTCCATTTCTTCTTCCCGCTTCAGACGTTCCATATCCCTCCTATTACTGCGATCTCTGAAAGCAGCAATCTCTTGAGCGACGGTTTCTCGCATCTCTGCCGGGATATCCGCAAGTTCGTCGTCCACGGCAAGCGGTATGTTGACAATTTCGATATTGTCTCTATTATCTGCATCCTGCATCGTTGTGTCTTCGCCATCCTCGTTTTTGGTATACATAGGAGGGTGAAACAATTCGTCCAGTGCAGTCTTTAAGCTTGACCGAGCAGCATCTAATCGTGCCTGCGTTGCCGCAGGATCATCTCCACGGTTTGACTGATAGTTCTCGAGGTATTTGAGCGAATTGTCGTCCACGAAAACCAACAGCTTGCTCTTCTCGATATTCTCATCCTCAGAGTCTTCCTTCTTCGTACCATCGCTAGGCGGTTGCCTCTTCGTGGGTATCTCGATATCCTTGAAGATCTCCACAGCCGTAGCCAAGCTCTCTGCGTCATCATATTGTGCAAATCCGAATGAACATTGCTTGCCGTCTGCATCCACGGCCCTATCCCATCTGCGTAATCGTCCAGCAGTGCTCAAGACCCGCTCAATGCCTTCATCCCCGCCTGCACCCTCTGTAATCCCACCAACGAATATGGTTCGCACTATCTCCTCCTTCGTAGGCGGTACAAAGGACATCATGCTCTCTCTCAACGCCTGCCTTTGCGCTTCCATTCCCCTCTCCATTCCCAGCCCCGCTCTTCCTCCCGCAGACATTGGATCGGTACTCTCTCTCCTCCCTCCTGCAGAGACCGGGGTAGAGGGTTTCGAGGGGCCGGTGCCTAATCGTATAACGGGTGCGGAGAAGTTGATATTCGGCATGTTTGGAGGACCTTGAAAGCTGGCTGGGAGCCCACTGGGTCGACTAGATTGTATGCTGTTGGCTTGTTGGACGCCAGGAGGAGGAGCTGTACCTGGCGCTGACATGCCTGGTGGTGCGCCTATAGATGTTAGCCTGACTCAAGGATAATGTGGGAGTTCCATACCCATTCCTGGGGGAGGACCCATGCCCGGTGGTGCCCCCGGTTGGCCTGGGAAGGCCCCGAATCCTGGAGGTCGACCATATGGCGATGCTACTGGCATTGTCAGTAAAGGTGGACAGGAAGCTCGAGAGGTCCGACGCGACGATTGCTCACCTCCGTAGGGATTGTACGCCATCTTGGACTTTAGCTTTGTAGAATTTCAAGTTGAAGAGATCAGAGATATTATCTAAAGCCCCCAGGGAAGAGAAATAAGGTAAAGAGAGGTGGTTGTTCGCGGCGCATCCGAGGTTGGGCAAAGTCGTGTGAAGCTCCAAAGTAAATTTCGATATTGCGCACGGACCATCAAGCCAACGCGACTTCAAGCTTCAAAAGTTCTCGAGAGCCTCACGCCATCAACGACACCTCGACTCTATTCACAGCAAATCCATCAATGTGCGTTCAACCCAGCTCGCAGATTCTATATTGAATATACTAATTATGTGAAGGCCAATGGAGCTTCGAAGGGCCGCCGACGCCATCCTACGGTGTCAAGTCTCTCCTCTGGTTGCTGCGGTACGATGGCAGGCAGGAAGACAAATAGGAAAGCAATCGAGCTCTAGCAACTCTGTGAACATTTCCCGCCGACGCACATTTATTACCACTACTCCAAAATACGCACTCAGACCTTCAGCCACGACGACTGCGGCGCCGCCACCCGAAAGCCAATCCGCTCAAGACGGAAAATCAGCCTCCGCAAAAGTCGAAGAAGCAGCAAAGAACCTAGGCTGGTTGCAAGGCAGCGGTTCCCGTTCAGGAGCCTCACGCTTCCCAGCACCGCGGTCCCAGGATGGCGGAGCCCGCGCGCGAGAATTGCGTATGAACGGCGGGAACTCGGCAGATGATATCCTCAAGACTATCAATACATTTTCCTCTCCCAGCGGCAAATCTTCCTTCGATGGAATTGATATTTCGCGGATGGCAGATCCCTTCTCCGATCGTCCAGAATCAGCGACGGACCTTATGGGCGCTATCAATAGAGAGGTAGCGCCCCCCCGGGAGGAACGGATCCCACTGCGATTAAACCCGTCTACGGGAAGAACTATCAATATCGGGGGTAATATTGACGTGGGTCGAGGCTTTCGATTATTGGAGCAGAGCTGTGCGAGGAATAGGGTCAGAAGCGATTTTACGAAGCAGAGGTTTCATGAGCGTGGAGGTTTGAAAAGAAAGAGACTTAGGAGGGAGAGATGGAGGAGGAGGTTCATGGAAGGGTTCAAGGCTACGGTTGCGAGGGTTAAGCATTTGAAGACCCAGGGATGGTGATTATTTCACGTCGTGTAGAGTAGTGGATGAAGACACATATTATGTACTATAAAGAATACTAAGGAATTCAACCTGGAGCCGTGGATGGGCTTTTCATTCAATTCACGCCTTTCGATGTTTGTTACTTTGAGTGATCAAAATACCCCTTTTCCTTCAAGTCACTTTAAGGGGTCTCTGAAGCCGCAGAACAGGACAGCTTACGGGGGCTCAATTGAAGAAGCAGTGGTTCATATCAAGTATAGCTTGGCGAGGTTATGGAGATCAGTACTAGATAGCCTCAAGTACGGGGTCTTCAGTACGGGGTCTGGGATCGGAGCAACCTCCGTGAGGATGTCAAATCAGAATCGCAGTCAAGGGAAATCCCATTGTCAGTTGATGCTACGGCGCTACCATAAGGGCAGACTTGAGTGGCCCGGAACTCAAAACCCGTTTCTGTCTACAGACCTCATGAAACTTGATTGGTGGGTCCTCACGTCAAGTCGACGACTCGGTCCCAAGAATGAAATGGGCCACTTGTAGAAGAGGACAACACACCAGCCCCGAGATCTGGGAGAACGGAAAAATGTGCCACTGCAAAAAGCTTCGAGGCCAATAGCCAAACCCCGTGAGGGATCTAGGACGCGTAACGAACATGCCAAAGGGTGTATTGCTGATGCTACCATGCGGATACTTCTTAAGGCTGTTTTCAAATCTGAGCAGAGAGATCTTTGGTAGCGCCATGGTCGAGACACCCGGATAAGGACCTCATTGTCGCATACCATCATATTAAGGTCTCCATATCCACGGAGACATGTCCGGCTCCGCATCTCGATTATCATCTCTCCAACGGAGAGGTGTGTGCACCATCATTAAATTAGGCGTAGATGGTACGTAGAGTCATGGCGGCTCCTCAACGTATTCCGATAATCCATAATCGTAAGTAGCCTCGGCCAAATACCTCTGTGCTGTGGTCCGACTATAGTTGGCCTCTATGATCCTTGCCCTCACAGGATTTGATGCTCGTGATTGAGGAATTTTCCATCCTTCGCCACAACTGCAACTTGCATTGATGGGCGGAGAGGCACATATTCCGTTACTTTCAAAATCAGAGGCGCAACGTATGTCGTTCGCATTCTAGGGGTGACAGAACCCGGAAATGGATCGTCTCAATCGAGACTGCCTAGAATTTTTCGCCCTGTTCACCACTGTTGTGGATTCACAAGACATGTTCCTGTCTCCATTGCTGCTCGTCACTCCCCTGAGTACTATTCGCACAGTGCCAGCCTCTGAGATGTTCGAGGGAGTCATGGCACTGCAGAGTTCACGAGACAAGCTAGCCTTTCCACTGGAAAAGAGTAGCACCCTTTTGGGGTCGTCCAGGTAGATCTGCAAGGAAGGCATCGGATGCCACCAACATGGGATTGCTCCCATCGCTCTTCCAATCCAGACCGAAGTTCGAACACTGATAAGGGGGGCGTCCTCGGTGGCGAATGGATATCGTCGAGTCCTCAACAGCCATAGAAGACATGGCTAGACATACTAAACGCCTGGCTGCAGGCTTGCAGGCAAGAGGGGCGCTCACTCACAAAGGTCCGACAGGTACAGTCGATAGCCCTCGCCGTCCACCCTTAGGGCTTCTGGCTTTCTTATTGAAGACTGCCGTCGGCTCTCACAATATGCTCCGATCCCAGTACGAGCAGTGATGACATGGCAGGAATGCTCCGATCTCTTTCCCAGACTTGCAATGCTGCTTTGCTGTGCAGTCATTGAATAAGAGTGGCCCTAATACCAAAGGCAAAACACCTCCTCAGCGTAGGACGAATGAACTAACGTGCTGTCTGCTGAAGTATCTTCAAAGCCTGCAAGCTTCACAGCCACACTAGGATTTCCTTGACGAAAGCGCCCACGTTCGACGTCAAGTATTTCCTCTCTTGCATCCGCGTCGAACGTGGTCCACAGTCCATATATTGCCCGGAACAGCCGCCAGAACGAAGATTAGCAACAAATTCCCCGCCTTTCTGGTTGTGCATGGGTTTAAATACAAGCAGCCCCAGATGGCATTAACCAGAATCTTTTAGCAATGTCATTTCGCAAGATTCGCCCCTCACTCGGAGATAGTAGCGCGTCGACAAGCCATCCAAGTCAACCCGCATCCGAGTCTACGGAATCTGATTCACGCCGGGTGCGCGGTGGGAAAGAAGTCGACAACAGCAGCAGTACCTCTTCTGCCAAACGTCGAAGAGTCCCGGATTCAGTGACTAGAAATGCCTGTCTTAGTTGTAAGAAGGCACGGGCCAAGGTATATTTTTGTCCCATCCTAATCTCCTGATGTGTTGTGCTCGCGCCCAGTTCCTATATCGCCAGGACGCGATAGTAATTGATACTTTTGGCTGATAGTCTCGCAGTGTGATGGTCAGAAACCGTGCAAGAGATGTACTTCACGAGGGGAGACCTCTGAGTGCGTCTACGAGGTTCATATCAAACATGCAAAGGAAGAACTGGTCAAGCAGATCAAGGAGCTCAGGGCGAAGGACCATCTAACAGAACAGATCCTCCAAGCGCTCTCCAGCGACGAAAAGGTCCCGGAAATTCTCGACCAACTTCAGAATGGCCATACTTACGAGAGCATTGTGGAATGGCTGGGTCGATCACCCATGGATGAGGTCGAAACTTTTTCGCCCCGGGAATCGCAGCACTCTACACTCGAGGCATCTGATCACGAAATGGGAGGTTTGGGCTCGACATCCCTTTGGTGGACAGCCGTAACATCTGACGCTGCGATCCTAGAGCATCTGTTCCGGTTGTATTTCACATGGGTCCATCCGGTACACACACTGTTTAATGAGCACCGTTTCGCCGATAGCTACAGACGCCATTCGGAGGACTATTGTTCTCCCGTTCTTGTCAACGCACTATGCGCCATGGCCTGCCATTTAAACTTGATGGCAAACGAAGACGAAGTTGATTTTGAACAACTCGGTCTGGAGTTTAGTGATGCCGCGAAGGAAATATTGATGCGGACGATAGAACGGTAACCACAGTACAGGCCTTTGCAATTCTGTTCCTAGTGGACTGTATGCGTGCTAATGCATTGCGCGCTGCTTCTTACCTGAACACTGCATCGAACATCATAGCCAGTGTTGAGTACTCAAAGATTGACGGATTCCAAGAAGTATGGAAGGACACTGTCCGAGGCGTGCGCAATCTAAGCGTGTCAGTATCTTCCTTAGCCCTTTGCTACTCAAACTGATAGACTTAGGGAGTGGGCGCAGATGACCTTCCAAGTACCTCCAAATATCGGCTTGGCTCCTCTGGATACGATCGAGGCCTTCGATGACGAGCTTGACGCTGTAAAATGGCACTTCTATCGCCATCTCAACGATTCATATCCTGCAGGGCCGGGCTTGCTGGCTACCACAAACCGAGAAAAATCGAAGCTTATCGGGATTATTACCGATGCTGCAACTACTATGTATACCCAGCGTGGACCACAAGTAACTGCAAACCAAGTTTTGCAGCAGTACAGGAGATTCGTGACTTGGCGTGACGAATTGCCAAGTAGGATCGCCATGGTCGAGAGCAATGGTCAGGCACTTCCTCATGTGCTTTCTTTACAGTAAGTTGACTTGCCTTCGCATATTGATCCGCTAACAACCCAGAATCTTATACTCAAACTCGGTGGTCCAACTTCTCCGGCCATTGCTCGACTTTGACAGTTTCCCAACCGCTCTCGTGGAAGACGCTATTTGGGACCACGCACAACGAGGATTATTCTTTCTCGGCGAGCATTACCGATCACAGTACACATCTCAATACCAGCCAACCTTTCAAATGTTTGCCGTTCTCCATCTTACTGATGTCATAGCAAGGTTCTTCCCCGATGGTACAGGCGGATCCAACAAGAATGGCCCTGAAGCCATCCAATTTGGGCTTGAAGTTTTGAGGGAATTCCAAGCCGGGCTTCCAGTTGCGGGACCACTCCAAGAAATGCTGCGAAAAACTGCTATCGAATGTGGTATCCGTCTTGCAGGAAACCTTGATGAGCTCATGGTGCCTCGTCCACCTAATAAAGATGTCTACCGAATAGATGACTTGATCGATGTTTGCACGAGGCCCAGGTATGTCCAACCAGTCGAAGAGATCCGCAGCAGATATATCCCATCATTTTCTGCGGATTGGGCGTCTCACAGCGCCTCTTTTGGCTTCTATGAGCGGCCTCCTGGTACAAGCAGAATGCGTCTCTCTTCGACAGAGGAAAGAGGGGCCCGAAATCTCATGCAGATTCGCAATCTTCTCAATACCCAGACTTCTTGATTGGAGAGCCTTTAGCGGTTTGTCAACCAGTCTTCATCCAATTGAGACGTGGAAGATTTGGTTGTTTTTGACGGATTCGCGTTCGTTGGGAGGAAGGATTTCGACTCTCGAAATTTCCTTGGTAGTGACGGATAGGGTTAACGACTCAAATATTGACATATTACTATCGGGCTTCATGAAATGGGTAACTTACTGTGTTTTCCCGAGTTTGACCGCGGATGGGTCGTGCAACTACTAAACACCACCGCACTATTCGACACACTTGCGTGGGGGTAGGATAAGTCCAGCTCCTGCCAATCTGCCATCATACATTGACTTGGAAATTGACTAGCAATTCCAGGTTTGCAGAATCATTCTTGACAGCTTCACCATGGAGTACAACGTCGAGTTTCTTGGCGGCTCGTTCTATCGATAGTCGTCCTCTCTATGCACCGCAGTTCCGAACTCATTTTCTCTGAAGAATACTTTGACAGCCTTCATCCCGGGATTCTGACGAGGATGTCGTAGTGGGCGTTGATGATCGATAATTCTCGTAGATGCCGCGAGTTTTATATCATGATATATGCACAAGCATCTCCGGATGTCCCTGGCCTCCCTAGCTCAAGAAGACTTTTCTCGCAGAGCGTCAGCCACTTAACTGGGGTTTGAATGCAAATACCGGTATCAAACTCCATCCTAATCCCGCAAGCACTGTCGTGTGATCGATAGGCACTATGGAATTGTGTTTCTGGAGGGCTCCCTGGTTTCCTGGTTTCGTTTCGCTATGGAGCTTCGATATGTTTTCGAGATGATTGAGCCCAACTTTGCGATGTTGACAATATTCATTGGTGGAGGGAATTGCGGACAATGTAGAGGTGTCGGGGAATCCTCTCTTAACAACTTCACTACCATAGTTCATCTATACTCTTCATTCCAACCTGGGGAGCTTAACTCGGGGCGGCGGGCTCCAGGTCCGTCGCCACATATGCATAGCCTATGGCCCCACTGTTTCTGGGGTTGGAATGGTCGGTTAACGACCTTCGATTCAGATTGATGTTCCACGCGATGAGGACTTGAATTGTATGTGCTCTCGTAGTGGCGAAAGCAGTCGAATATCTGTTCGGGGTGTGTGGCTGTTGCGCTACCTTCTTTATGAAGTCATTCTCAGGGACGTATCCGATGGGCTAGGAGAGAGTAGCGATCACCTGGCTGTGGGCAGGGAGCGCAATGGATTCTTGGAGTGGGCGATGCATCTGATATTTCCCTCGTATACTGGTATTGGTTTGCTTGCTACGTTGGATAGCAGAGAACGAGTCCTTTGCCGCCCTGTGAGAGGAAGTTTCCCGAAACCAGGTGTAGCTGATGCCCAGTTGTCCATCGCTACTCACGGTTCCTTGAGGGCACGCAAATGGCTCTGGGTGACCATGGTCAGCAGTTGCTCTCCTGAAGAGAAAGAAGGTGGCGGAATGGAATGAAGGGACACATATAGATACGTCTCTTCACTCCAAAGCCGCAGGTTTATGGCGTTGAGCAACAGCCATGCGCGAATCCAACCTTGATTTGTGGATGGGTATACTTGAGGCTTGAGCAATCCTGGGAATACATGCCGTTACACCACCCGCTGTTGAGGCTCAACGCCGAGGTGGACTCCATCTCAATCTTCAAGCCGTCCACATATGTAAGGTAAATGCATAGGGGTCCTGTTCCTGTCCTCTTGCGAGCATCGAGACAATAAATATAGAGTTTTGACGAGGCCATTGCGTCGTCGTCGCTGCTGCTTGTTTCTATGTATCTTGCCCTTGATTTGGTTCAACACGTGCAGCACTTTCCACCTACTACCTTACCATACCTTACCTTACCTTACCTGGTCTACCTCCCTTACCTCACCTCCTTCATTCTCTCGTCCCCATCAGCACTCTCGTCTGTGCATTCGAGCTTAGATATGATGCTTAGAATCTTCAACCTGGTCTTAAACCACCTTCCAGTGTCCCCCCCCCAAGACGCGATTCCGCACTATGTCTGCATCATCCGAATACCTTCAGGCGTAGTGCTGCAGCTCCTAGACGTGCTCCAGCATTATACAGCACCAACGTCCCTGCTGGTGATAAAATGCCAGTCTGATACTCCAAAAAATCCTTCAAAATACTGAAACATCTTCTAGGACCTGGTTATATCCTGTTAGGAAAACTGCCGAATGAGAGAGGGGCTGAGATATGTCAACAAGTCGATTTCGTCAGATCAAAGCAGTTCCAAGCAGCTTGGACTTGTCAGTCGGATGTCGAACCCGTTCACCACCAAAAACGTCTTCGAGGATGTCTATGTCACTACGTTGCCTACTAGTCTCTTAAACCTGGGCCAGATTGCACATCACCCGATCTTTCGACTAACGTCAAAACTAGGAATTCGAGAAATACTAAAATTCGAAGGATAGCGCCCTGCATGCTTCAACTTACAGTGTCTCGGTCCAAGATCTGTCGAAATTTATCCGCTTTAGAGAACTCAGCAAGGCACGATGCAAGCTCTGCAAGAGCCGCCAGGAGATTGTATTTCTGGGAGAGTAAGCGGTGCTCCTGCGTCTCTTGCAAAGTATCGAAGCAGTCTCGAGTTACTTTATTATGGGTGAATCCGAGACTGGTCTACGCCCGCTGTTGTCGCCTTTGTTTTATGGGACTCTCCTGGAATGCCCTTATAGTAGAGATTGCGGTAGTCAGCGCTTTGCTATCCTATGCTACGCTCATCGGGGCATTTGGACATGCCGGTAGGTCAATTTGGCAACTGCAACCCACAGATATGGCCTGGGAGTTCTGGGAGTACGCCCATCACCCAGCTCTGTTCTTTATAAAAAACAGTGTCAAGATAGCTTTTGCAAATCTAACATTCTTGGCCATGACATCTCGGATAGAGTTCATGGGGAGTGTTGCAGATACCAATTTTCCAATATCTTGACTTGTTGCATCTCTTGTCAGCTGCGCCACTTCTCGAGGGCTTGCACATTGGCCCTTTTTTTTTGCGTATCTCAGAGGGTTGGTTAGATGTTGAGGAAGCCAATTTCACTAATGCGTTCACCCTGTTAACATGGCCGAACCTTCGTATATTAGGGTTCTGATGTTGTCGAACAGACCGGGAAGCATTTACAGGATTTATGGAAAGAATGCAAAGACCTCAGAGGAATTGTGTCTCAGGTCAATCAATCTGATAGAGAAGAGTTCTACCGCCACATTAACAACAATTCCAACTGAAGTTAACGGGGCATCTTGGGAATATTCGATCAGATATCTTCAGCCAATGATGAAGAAGCTCCATGGAGTTCGCGCTCTTCATAGATCTCGAGGATGGTTGTATACAACAGAAGTGGAAGATGACAACAGGAAGTTCAGGAGCTTCTCCTGTGCAGCGTTGTTGGATTACTTCCTTCACTACGGCAAGCATAACACCCCGAATCCTGTTCGTGGAAAGCCCCTTTATTCCTTGGATTCATATTTTCATAACTTCCCACGTTGGGAGGTTAATGATACAAAATCGAGGTCAGCAATATGCACACAAATAAGGAACAAATCATTATATCAAGAAGTTAAGCTATCATAGAGAAGTTACTGGGTCAAATTCAGAGAGCTCCCCTCCACATCAGCGCACTATTATCGTACTTAGCCCGTGCATCAAGGAAGCATCGTAGAGAAAACGGATTCGGGAAACTAAGGTATCAAATAACCCGTTATACACACGTATATATACCTCATGATCAATAGCTTTTCAATACCAAGCTCAATCATCTCATCTTGGCTACCCGCTAAGTTATTCCCCACTATCTAGTATCTGGCTGACACTTGTTGAGTGATCAGAATAGCCCCCTCCCTCATCGAGGGATATCTAAAGAAAGCATCTATATAGTTTTCTTTGGTAAGTGGAAGAATGGGGAGATCGAGTGGGGATCTCTAAAAGGTATATCAATATCTATCTATAGATATACCTTATGATATATGATATACCACCCCCCATTCTTCCCCTCTCTCCAAACACTCCAAACCCGTCCCTCAATACCAATCTTCCAAAACCACAACTCGCTAGAGAGAACTTCTAAATCGACAAGAGACAGACAGAGAGAGAGAGAAGTATAAGGAGGACGGGACGGGATATATAATTCGGTTTTTGGATCTTTGAGGGAATGGGAGAAGGGACGAATGAATATGCCTAGAAGAGGGAGGTTGATAAAAATAGTACCAAGTCGAGGAAAAGGGGATGCATAGCTATAGCTTGCTTGACCAAGTCTACTATACAGAATACTTTACATTCATAGGTGCTGGCTAGACTACCTACTCTGTAGCTGATCTAGGAACCCCCCAATACGCACTAGGACTCAAGAAACTCCCGCCATGCCATCCAGAGAATCTGGGGGAATCCAGTACATGAGCCATTTCCCCTCCATGCTTGTAACGCCTCCATTCCATGTGCAACGCCTCATTTCCCGGAATTCTCAAAGTTTCATGCCTTATTTATCCTTTACCAATCCATCCGCTATGGACGAAAAAGTCGAATATCCTTCCGCCCTTTTGTCCATCGACGTGACAGATCTCTTTCGCTTGCTTTTTCTTCAGCGTTCCGTTGCTCTTGAGCGCCTCCTTCATAAGCGCTTCTTTCATCGCCAGGTAAGGCTTTGGATAGATGCGTGTCTTCTCGCAGAGGTCGATCTCTTCCTCGGTTAGGAGATGGAGATCGGAGGCATTCTCTTGGCTCAGAGATAAGGGCGTAACGCCAATGAGAGGCTGGACGACGAATTTTTCCCGCTTCACTGGAGTACTTGTCCCGTTTGCATGGCCATTCGTGGGCGCTTTATCGGGTCGATTGGGTGATGCGCTCGCTGTGTTCTCTGGTTGCATGAGGCGGATGGGAAGTTCAGGGGCAACGAGGGCAGCAGCGCCAGAAGGCGTCTCAACGGCAGAGGCCTGCTTCGTACGATGCAAGCTTGCAAATCGATCACGATCTAACGAACCCATTGGCTGAGCCTTCTGTGCACGCAAGACCTTATCTTGTTCGTATTTCTCGCCACCTCGAAGATCCACGATCTTCTTCTCTCGCCAATCCTGCAGTTGTGCTATGGCTTGTCGAAGATTGAGTTCTTCGATGAGACCTTTAGTGAATTCTTCAAAGTCATCGTGGTTCATCATCCGAGCAAAGGGTTTGGCCTTGTTGAGGAGATCCCGCTCTTCTTTCGTCCGTTTCTTGTCAAGAGCCGCATTCTTTCTGTATTCGAGAAGGTTGTGTTCAAACATTACTTTCTTCCTGTCGGCTCTCTGGGTAAGGCGGGAATTGTAGATATCCATAACCGTCATCTTCAGCTCCATCTCTGGCTCCAACTCCCCGGTTCGTGGATTGATGCCATCTCCAGGGTCGAATTGCATGTGTTGGACTGCCTCCTCTGCCTCGTTGGCATATTCCGTCTCGAACTCCAACCGTCCGGGCATATATCCTTGAACCTCGTGGCATGCTGGGACACTTGCCGTCGGCTTCTTCTTCGGTGTAGCTGGAGGTGCATTCTTCGCTGCCTCCTTCCGGTCCTCAATTCTTCGTTTCTTCCGAGCCTGGAACTCCTCCCTGGGTATCTCCTCCAGCAATTGTAAATCGTGGGGGCTCGCCCTCTTTGGCAACGGGAAGTTCGGGCTATCAAGGTAAATCTTCTCATAGTGCGCCCTCACTTCATCTTTATTTCTGTATCCACCGATATGATCTGCTATGTCTGCCCAGGATCCCAACCCATAGATCTCAGCCCCTTCCAGCAGGAGCAACTCCTCATCGGCGCCCCAGTTCTTATCATAAATCGGGACGGAGTTTTGCTCGATGACCCGAAAGGGATGGGTGGCAGGCTGGTGATTATGTGAGGACTCGCCGTCTGCAAAGCATTGTACACAGAGGTCGTAGTCGTTGCAAACTGGACTGGCGCATCTGATGCGGACCTAGGATGGTGTTAGCAGCTACACGTGTTTGACGCGCCCGAGGAGGAGTGGAGCATACTGTTGAGGTTATATCGGCGGAGCAGACATCACAAACGTACTTGACTCCCCCCTCGCCGCCCCGCGTGGAGGTCTTCTTGCGGATGACGCCCATTGCCTCGATCTCAGCGTCCTCGGGCGCTGCGCCGGGATCGATGGGTGGCGCAATGGCTGGTGATGGCTCTCTGGGTATTATGGAGTCGAGCGCGGGGCCGTCGGCGGTTGTGTCCCTTCCGTGCGGAGTGGTGAATGATTGCTTGCGGTCCCCTGCGCTGTTGCGGCGACGCGATCTCTTGGTTCTGGTATCCATGGGGGGTTTCGTGGATGCCTGACGGCTGGTGAGGCGGCGAGATCAGGGAACCACGCGATACCTAATTGGGAAGCTGCCTCTGGGTTTTGTCATAAAGAAACATCTAGATAATGATAGATGCACGCCGGACACCTGCTCACTTCTCACCTCGCACCTCTCTCACCTCTCACCTCGTCACCGACACAGTGGCACGGATAGGACTCTGTAGGTACAGTAACAGTACATATTCTGAAGACCAGACTCCCTGAACAAGCACCAATGCAAACAGAGACCCCGAGACTTCACAGCCTGGTAGAGCCGAGCAACAGGGAAGAAGCAGAGAGAGAAAGACTCCCAAGAGTCTGTGGGGAAGTTTGCGAGAGTGACTTGACGCTGGGCTAAGACAGGAAGAGAAGTCTCTAGTTTTTCCGCCCTGGCGGCAGTTTCAGCCTTGTTGCCTTGGCCATTTTTGGTGGCGCAGTTTCAGGCAGAGAGAGAGTTTACGTATTAAGTCATCCCCGCCCGTATAACCCCGCGCCCGCCGTCCGGTGAGGATCCCATTGGCGATGGAGGATCTGACCGTCTGTCTGATATAAGATCTTAATCTAACTATGGCACACAGGATCCATCAACACGCAGGAATGTAAGGTAGGTACGTTGTAGAACTGAATATAGGGCAGAGATGCATGCGTATTCCCTCCGGGCTGTACTGTACGGAGTTAAGGTGTATATATACCTTATACCTTGGTGTTGTTACCTCGGTGTCTCCAGTACCTAGTAGGCCAAGGTACGCGGCAGGCGAGGCATCCATGTTGCCCAGCAGCAGAAGCCAAGATAAATTAGATTGATTGCATTGTATACAGAGTATCTATCGACCATCACAACAACCAACCAACCCATTCCTGTAACCGGTCTGTGTCTCTGTTGTTGACCCTTCTTCCCACTTTCCACTCCCGCATCTCCCCTTCACGTGATGGTCTGCTGCAAAGACGGAGAGAGACCCTCATTTTCTCATCTCTGACTGAGCTAAGCCACTCCACATCGTATACCCAGCGTCCTTCCCCCCCATCCTCTTCACCTCCTTTGTAATAATCCATTTACATGACCCTGCCGATCCTCGTACCGCAAGAACCACAAGAATAGCTCCTGCTCGGATCCGCCCCCCAAAGATCACCCTTTGAGAACTTCAAAAACTTCAAGAACTTCTCAACCCTCGCGACGACCCCGTCTGCTCTCCCTCTGTACCTCACCCTCGCGGTAATTTGCGGTCGTCGCCTTTGGAGGGGCAACCGCTCGCTACAGCGCACGCTACAGTGCAGGAACCTGGTTCACCGTACTGAGCTGAACAACCGCATAGGAGCGATTACCAACATCCTATCACCTCGAAACATCTGCTCCTCACCGCAGGACCCCCCTCACCACCATCATAATGTCTTGGAAATTGACTAAGAGTGAGTATCCTCTTTCCTCTCGCCTTGCTCTGCCTGCTCTTCTGATGCCCGTCCGACGCCGTTTGCCGTTTACCCTTAACCATTTACCCTTTGCCCGCTGGAGCACGTTGCAAGAGCACACCGCGAGCATCGCAGTGCAGAGCGTCCTTCCAGCGCGTCCGTCAGACTGCTGCACCTGCAATTGATCTCGGGACGGCGTTATTGACAATGGCTGACAATCCCCTTAGAGCTCAAGGAGACCCATTTGGGCCCTCTTGCCAACACCTTCTCCCGATCCCCCTCCACCTCAACAATCACCACAGACTCCGCCAAAGATGAGAAATCGAGCATCGCGAACACTCCCACAACTGATAACGGGATTGGTACGTGTGGAAACGGCTTGCTGTACCTTTTGGAGTGCTGACCTTTTCAAGCTGCATCCGAACTCATAGCCACACAACCTCCTGCCGAACCACGTCCAGGTATTCTAATCGTCACCCTACACGAGGGGCAGGGTTTCTCCCTTCCAGATCAATATGTACAGGCCTTCAGCTCCCACCAACAGAACTCGCTCTCCGCAGGCGGCGGATTCGGGGTAGCAGGCTCGGTCCGTCCGGGCTCATCGCAGCACAGCATGTCTGGATCGTACGCTGGCAACGCGCGACCGCAAACCTCTGGAGGTGGTTTCGGTGGATTCCCTACGAATCACGGCCGAATCTCCTCAAAATACCTCCCGTACGCCCTGCTGGATTTTGATAAGCTGCAGGTCTTCGTGAATGCTGTTTCGGGCACTCCAGAAAACCCACTTTGGGCTGGCGATAACACCTCATATAAGTTCGATGTCTCCCGAGCAACTGAGCTGGCTGTCCATCTCTACCTACGAAACCCCAACGCGGCACCTGGTTCTGGACGAAGTCAAGATATCTTCCTTGGCGTGACCCGCATCAACCCTCGATTTGAAGAGACCCACAAGTACGTCGAAGATCCAAAGTTGAGTAAGAAGGACCGAGAGAAGGCGGCATCGGACTTCGCGAAACATGAAAGAACCCTCGGTCAAGCTGGAGCGGAATGGGTAGACGTTCAATACGGCACTGGAAGAATCCGCATTGGTGTGGAATACATCGAGAACAGAACCCGGGCCTTGAAGATTGAAGACTTCGACCTGCTGAAGGTTGTTGGAAAGGGAAGTTTCGGAAAGGTCATGCAGGTCAAGAAGAAGGATACCCAACGTATCTATGCGTTGAAAACGATCCGAAAAGCCCACATTATTTCCCGGTCAGAAGTTGCGCACACCCTCGCGGAACGATCGGTGTTGTCACAAATCAACAACCCTTTCATTGTACCCCTCAAATTTACATTCCAATCCCCCGAGAAGCTATACTTCGTTCTCGCATTTGTTAATGGCGGAGAGCTTTTCCATCACCTTCAGAAGGAGCAGCGATTCGATATCAACCGGTCACGATTCTACACTGCAGAGCTTCTGTGTGCGTTAGAATGTTTGCATGGCTTCAACGTCATCTACCGTGATCTTAAGCCCGAGAACATCCTACTTGATTACTCCGGCCATATTGCTCTGTGTGATTTCGGCCTTTGCAAGCTGGATATGAAGGATGAGGACCGGACCAATACTTTCTGTGGTACTCCAGAATATCTCGCCCCTGAGTTGCTCTTGGGTCAGGGCTACACGAAGACGGTGGATTGGTGGACTCTTGGAGTTTTATTGTATGAGATGTTGACTGGACTGCCTCCTTTCTACGACGAGAACACCAACGAGATGTACCGCAAGATTCTGTCCGAACCTCTCCATTTCCCTGGTCCAGAGATTGTTCCTCCGGCTGCGAAGGATATCCTCACAAAGCTCCTCAACCGCAAGCCAGAGCAGCGATTAGGTGCAAATGGCGCTTCTGAGATTAAAGCTCATCCATTCTTCCATAGCATTGATTGGCGGAAGCTCTTGCAGCGAAAGTACGAGCCTACTTTCAAGCCTAATGTGGTAAGTACCCTCAACCCCTCCATCATGAAGGACTCGCTAATCCACTACAGACCGACGCCCTTGACACGAAGAACTTCGACCCCGAATTCACGTCGGAGCTCCCAGCAGACTCGTTCGTCGAAGGTCCAGCCCTGTCTCAGACAATGCAACAGCAATTTACTGGTTGGTCCTACAACCGACCTGTGGCCGGACTGGGAGATGGGGGCGGTAGTATCAAGGACCCATCATTCGTGGGCAGTGTTTCGGACAGGTAGATACGGAGGTAGATGCGGGTCTTCACGAAGAAAGTTGCAGTGATGGGAAACGTTTGAGCGATATATCGGGTGGTTTTAGCACGTGTTGTGAATTTGCATGGGCGAAACGAGACGATTCCTTCGTCAGAAGGGTTTCACGATCAGAGCGAGTATTTTCATGAGGCGTACAGGATGGATGGGCCAGATGCTTTGCAGCGGTTGGTTGCTGTCCGTGGCTTAGCAGCGAAAATTGCATAGAGACAAGACACGCTTTTATTTGACTTGGACGACTTCAGTGTGCGCAGGAGTATCAATCATTCTTTTCTTTCTTTTACATCCCTCCCGAGTATCCTGTCCGGCAGGTGGGGGGGCGGAATGCAATACTAGAGAGATTATGATGAATCGTTTCATGCAGGAACCGTGAGAGGATACGATACAGAGTGCTGTCTGCGACTTGTGATTTGTCATTTGTAGATATTATTAGGTGAAGCCATCGCGGTGAATATTCAGTCGTCGGCGATGCTCAGTAATCCCAGCCCCGTGCTAGTGGTGGGGTTGAAAACAGGGAACGTCATATGTCAGCAAGCGACGGAGTCAAGAACCTCGTCCCTCAACCTTCTCTCATCGTCAACTTCTTCTCCTCCAAGACTCAATCACTCGTCCCTCCTCGAAGGTGGTCAATCTTCATTTTGCTTCCAATCGAAAAGGTTCGTGCCGTGACCCCTTCTGCTAGGATGCCATTCCCAGCCTCTGGAGCTATCGCAGCCCCAATGGCATGACCCCGCACTGTCCCGCCCCCTCACCAGCGGGAGGCAGAGAAGAGAGATTGCGGCGGAATTGCTCGGAGTTGTAGGACAAATTGCTAAAACGACGATAATACCAGCAGATTCAAACTCCGATACAGTCGAGGCCCCTGTCAAAAAAAATCCTCCAAGTTATCGGAGACGCAGCTCCCAACAAAAGCCACGACTTCGACTCGTTGAAGATCAATACCTCCCCGCGCTATACACGTCCTATATCGGTACTATATAGTCAACCACACCCCACCCCCACCACCCCCCAAAAGTTTCTCCACGAAAAACAAACAAGATGCCTCAAGCCACCGCTCTTCCCCACTGGGCGGCTCTCCAGTCCCACCACGACACCGTGGGAAAGTCCTTCGTCTTGAAGGAAGAATTCAAGAAGGATCCCAAGCGATTCGAAAAGTTCTCCTACACATTCAACAACACCGCCGATAACTCTGAGATCCTGTTCGACTTCTCCAAGAACTTCCTGACCGATGAGACCCTCAAGATCCTGGTCGAGATCGCCAAGGAGGCTGGTCTGGAGCAGTTGAGAGATGCCATGTTTAAGGGCGAGAAGATCAACTTCACTGAGGATCGTGCAGTGTTGCATGTTGCGCTCCGAAATATCACAAGCGAGCCTATCTATGTGGATGGGAAGGATGTTATGCCGGGCGTCAACAAGGAGCTGAAACATATGGAGGAGTTCTCTGAGGCAATTCGGAGCGGTGAGTGGAAGGGATACACTGGGAAGCCTCTCACCACCATCATCAACATTGGTATTGGCGGTTCTGATCTGTGAGTTTTTTACGGTCGTCTTCTATTATCCTTGCTAAGTATTTTGCAGCGGCCCTGTTATGGTCACGGAAGCTCTCAAATACTATGGCGACCGCAAGCAAACCCTCCACTTCGTCTCCAACATTGACGGAACCCACATGGCCGAAGCCCTTCGTGACTCCGACCCAGAGACAACACTCTTCCTTGTCGCTTCCAAGACCTTTACGACAGCTGAGACCACAACCAACGCACACTCTGCAAAGGACTGGTTCCTGAAGAAAACCGACGGCAAGGGCGACATCGCAAAGCATTTCGTTGCACTGTCCACCAATGAGGCGGAAGTCAAGAAATTCGGTATCGATCCTAAGAACATGTTTGGATTCGAGAGCTGGGTCGGAGGACGATATTCTGTCTGGTCTGCCATTGGCTTGTCTGTCGCCATTCACATCGGATTCAAGAGATTCCATGAGTTTTTGAGCGGTGCTCATGCTATGGATATGCATTTCCGTAATACGCCTTTGGAGAAGAATATCCCTGTCATCGCGGGTCTCTTGAGCGTGTACTACTCGGATATGTTTGGTGCCCAGACCCACCTTGTGTCTCCGTAAGTCGTCCCTTCATTTCTTCTTTAGTACAAACTGACTGTTTTAGATTTGACCAGTACCTCCACCGTTTCCCTGCCTACCTCCAACAACTGTCCATGGAATCCAATGGCAAGTCTGTTTCCCGTGACAACCAGATGGTGAGATACACCACAGGTCCAGTTCTCTTCGGCGAGCCAGCCACCAACGCCCAGCACTCCTTCTACCAACTCCTGCACCAGGGCACCAAACTCATCCCAACCGACTTCATCCTTGCTGCAGAAAGCCACAACCCAATCGACAACAACAAACACCAAAAGATGTTGGCCAGTAACTTCTTTGCCCAAGCCGAAGCTCTTATGGTCGGAAAGGGCGAAGAACAACTCAAGGCAGAAGGGACACCTGAGGCGCTAATGAAGCACAAGACCTTCTTGGGCAACCGACCAACAACATCGATCCTTGCCCAGAAGATCACCCCAGGTACGCTCGGTGCGTTGATTGTCTACTATGAACACTTGACGTTCACCGAGGGTGCTGTCTGGAACATCAACTCTTTCGACCAGTGGGGCGTGGAGCTTGGCAAGAGCCTTGCAAAGAAGATTCTTGCCGAGCTGGATGAGCCTGGAAACCCCCAGGGACACGATAGCTCTACTGGAGGTTTGATTGCTGCTTTCAAAGCTAAGGCAAAGCTTGCTTAGTTTACTGTCGCGTGAATAATTTGAGGGAATCGGTTGCTGAATAGGATAGCTGTAGATGAAAAGCTGCGGTGAGGAGATTTATGCTCTCACACTTTGCCAATAGAAATGATAGATTACTACGATGAATATGAATTGGTCTGGCCCTTATTTCCAGCTATGAAAAGGAGAATCGCCTGGTAAGAGTGGTCCCCGCCAGCCTTGCAGCCTTGCCTCGAGTCTCGCTTAGGTCCCTAACCTCCGCGATCTACATATCAAAAGTTGTCCACATCTCCCTTGGCAACAATGACTTTGTGATCCGACAAAGAAGCGCAGTGAAGAGGAAGTAGGGCCGCAGATTACCAAACTATGGCGCGCGATCGACGGCGGAATAATGTTTGGGCTTGGGCGTTTATGCTGATTGGCGCATTTCTGGTCGCCAGCACGAGAGCAGAAGAACACAAGAGCAAGATCCCCTTGCCAAGCTACCATTACGGGGCGAAAATCCCCGTGGAGTGTTTAAATCGGAGCATGTGAGTTTATGGTCCTCGACGGGTTGTGTTGGAGCTGCTTGGCCTGTGATGGAGAGGACAGAAGACCTCGTAGGTCGGGGAGGGGGCAGAGGGTTGATGGATTCAGAAGACTGATATGCTGATTTGATGGGATGATAGTGAAACGGGAGAACATATCGAGAACGAGAAGAACGAACTACAATATGTTCCCTTCCCAACCTGCAACGAAACCGGCCGGCCGCTCGAACTGAAATACGGCATCGAAGATGGTACTACCCCCCCCTTCCCCCCCTTTCTTTTACCATCTCCTGTACACCTCAATCTGACATGAACGCGTGGAATAGAACTCAACTGCACCATCCCCGTCATATCCGACCCCTTCTTCCACCTCCTCGAATTCTACATCCACAGCGACGCGCCCCTCTCCTGCCGCATTCCCGCCCGTCCCCCTCCCCACGTAACCGCCAGCCACGCGCCTCCCTACACACCGGAATACGTTCCCCTCGTCTTCGCGCTCGCCGGGACACTCCAGCTCTCACACCTGCACATCTCGACGCACATGAACATCCTGCTGCACTCGACACCCAAGCATCACCTCCACAAGCACGACAGCGGAGTCATCGACTCGGGCGCCGCGTACAGCATCTCCCCTCTATCACACACCACGGGACCCGCGGCGCTGACCAAGAAACTGGTCATCGGGGATCCGCTCCCGCTCTCGTTCTCGGTGCGCTGGTTCCCGACGCCGCATCTGCCGACGGGGAATGGGAAGATTGAGTGGGCCGGCATGGGAGGCCATTTCTACGCGAGCACTTTCTTTTATTGTCTGGTGAGCTTTGGCGCTGGGTGCACGGTCGCGGGCGTCTGGTTCTGGGGCGTCGTGCTCCCGAAGAGGATTAAGGGCCGTGGGCTGGGTGGCGCCACGCCGTTGGGTTATGGGGTGGGGAATGGCTGGGGGATGGGGAAGAGGGATTGAAGTTGTGGCGAGGAGGAAAGAGAAAGGTGGGGAGAGGAGAGCGGAGAAGAGGGGAGGGAAGCAGAGAAACTGTATTATCTTGTGGGAATAATCGGGCGATGAAATGATATTATGAGATTGCTGGGTTTATGATCATGATTATAATGCATAATCTCATGGCGAAAAATGAAAACCACTTATGTTATCGTTATTCTTACCTGCTTCTTCATAGCATGGGCATTTAGAGTCCTGCAAGTCCATTCCTAGTCCAGGGGCTCCAATCTCTAATTCAATTATGTGCTTCTGTAGATATATGCCAGGTCCAGTAATTGAGGACCACATGGGAGGTGAAGAAAAGCGAATCAAACAGAAACATACACCACCACGATTCTCTTCCCACATCTCATCCTCCCCCAAACCCCCATTCAACAAACCGCCACCATCCCATCATCTCAACTTCTTACTCTCCTTCACCCGCGCCACAGCAGCAGCTCCATCAATAACCCCACTAATCCTGCCATACATATCGATGCCCATAAACGCTGCTATAATAATTCACACAAAGAATCAGAGATCAATCCCATAAAATCACCATGACCTTCCTTTCCCTCTCTCACATATACAATTTATATTATGTCTGAATAAAAAGGAGAGGGGGGAGGGAACTTACATAGTGCGAGATAAGGACCGTAGAGGGTGCTCAGATCCAGTTTTTGTTGGAGGGGGACGGACCAGAATGAGTATTCGATCATGCAGGTGAGTGTGGTGATGAAGATTAGGCATGAGAAGGGAAGGAGCACGAGTGGGACTTTGGGGGAATCTGGATTGCGCATTAGATTGAAGCAATATATGGATTCACCATTTTTGCGGGCTGAAAAATAAGAGAAAAGGAAAGGAAAGATTCAATAGGATTAGGGTTAGGGGGGGAGGGAGGTAAACGTACTGTTATATAAGTTAGGAATAGCCCATAGCATAACAGGAGCTTGGTATAAAAGCTCAGACCACATGTACAGCTTGAAGAACGGCGGCGGCGAGATGAAGAATAGATCGTTGTACGTGCTGATATAATAGGACTTGAGATTCACCATGAAAGACGGGACGAGGTGCGCGGGGTAAAGGGATTGTAGATCTACGACTTTCGGGGTGTCAGCTAGGTGTTGGGTACCTTTCTAAAATAGAAATGGAAAACTGAACTACAAGTTCCAAGAGAGAAAAGATAGGATTGAGATAGAAAAAAGGAAAGAAGGGTATGATAATGATAACATCCGAACTAGGGATTATCCTAAAGGAGCAATGGCTGGATATCAGATGATTCATGATAGCCTTCTCTGGATTGGCTAACTGAAGAATAAGAAGAACGCCCACTAGGGCTCGATAACGCAGTGATAAACACAAAGATTTCACATCGCAACTCAAATTGAATCATGAAGGGAATATATAAATGAGAAGGAGCACCGACGGAACATCAATGGAAGACCGATGCAGAAATGCACCAGGTAAACAAGGTCGCGTTTCCGAGAGAAGATGGACGTTGCCATCGTGTAAGCTTTTAGACGAGGATAGCCTTGTTTTATATCTGCAGTGGGATCGATGCAGTAATCCTCAGTAAGGTAGGTGAGTATAACACTTAGAAAAAAGATATATAGTCTGAAAATTGGTGATCACAGAGAGGGAGATTGTTAGGAAAATCGACAAGGCTGAATGTAGTTGAATGCCCAGCTCGCTTAAGTACAAACCCCCTTGCCGGATCTGGAAGTGTATTTTGACTTCATCTCTCCCTTCCGTTGCTTCTGAACGGGATTCGGGATTCGCGGTACAGAGGATTAGTCCAAGAGGGATATTACATTATGAGGTAACAGAGGAAAGATAGGCTTCATGAGGCGGTTTGGGGGGCAAATACGAAGCCAATTTTAGAGACTTGAAAGGGAAAGCTTTGATCTTCGTTTGTATTGCGAGTGGTAGAAGATGCGAAAGGATGCTGAGCTTGCAGAAGAGATTAACTGCCTTTCAACTTGCATATTGGATATAAATCATCAATGAGCGCCTATCTTGGTAGCTACCAGGGTAAATATTTGAAAGTTCAAATCCAGATCTCACCGATGACGAGGATCCGAGATCTATAGGTACCATTCCACAGAGGGGCAAGAAGAGTGACAGCTACTAAGTAGGTAATTACAAACCAAAGGTGCAAAGGAACTACTTGATCAAACTATGAAAAGTATGCAGGAAGCTGGGCTATAGCAGATTCTTGAACTCGAGATGTGTAGGAAAAGGCAGCTCGCAAATAAGGGAAGGGAAGAGGACCTACCTTACACAGTCTAAATATCCCTAAAAGCACACAAGGTAAGAACTCCCCTGGGAACCTTAACATTAACAAGTGGACTGTTCCTACCCCTTTGCGGGATCATATAAGAAGAAGTGACGAAAAGCCAGGTGAGGGGACATTGAGCAATTCGTGAAAAGGAAATCGAATTGAATAAACCCTCCCCATGGGAGATGACTGGAAGAGAACGGTATATTTATCATCAGTTATCACTCAATCAAACGCCCCTAGAATCAGCTGCATGATCCCATGACTCCACACGATCCAAAAACACCAACAAAAATCATCGCTCATCACTTCATCCTTACCATACATCCCCTAGGGGCAGACATCCGCACCCCTAAATTCCCCAACCATCTCAAGCCCTATACTCCGGCGGCGGGCTCCTTAGCCCACCGCTGTACTCTCTCTGCCTCAAGATCTCCTCATCAGCCGCAAACCGCACCCTCGGGTTCGGATTCATCCGCTCCTCATTCTCGTCATACAGTCCCAGATTTGGGCTCACGCTCCTTTGTGTATTCGATCTTCCTCGGCCTCTCCTCTCCGGCCTGCTATCCCGAGGCGCGCCCATATTCGCCTGCGGTGGTGCTAAATTTGGCTGAGATGAAGAAGATGATGACTGGTATGCGGGGGGCTGCGGGTACTGTTCGTGTGGGATGGAGGGATCGAAACCATATTTGACATCCGCCGGGTAGCCATTACTGGTCATTACAGGCGCTGCTTGGCTTTGCGGGGGGTTTGGCGGTGGAGGAGGAATTTGGGTTTGAGGCCAATGTTGCGGCCAGCCCGTCGGTGGGTATTGTGCTTGTCCCTGCGGTGGAATTGGTCTTTGTGCAGGAGGCGCGCTGTGCCTTCCTCCCTGTGCGTACATAGCCGTAGCCGCAGGAACGGGCATTGGCACCTGGGCGCTGCTGTTCCCAGGACGAGGCACGTATTCCTCTTTCTCCCGCCGATGTCTCCCGTCTCGACTCTCACTTCGATGCCGTCTATGTTTCCCCTCCCTATCATATGAGTGGCTCCCCTCATATCGCCGATCATGCGAATGTCGTCGGTGATGTCGGCGATGCGATCCATCTTCTTGCAGAGGATACCCTTGCTCCTCGAGCGCCAAAGCGGCCTCATCGATGCGCTGCCGATCCTTCTTGTTCTTGTTGTGCTGGTGCATGAGGTAGCCCGCTGCAACGAGCTCGAGCCCCCCTAGAATGACCATCTTGCCTGCGTATGCCCTGCCTTTCTCTTCTGCAAGGACGTTGTATGAAGAAAAAGAAATATGGAGTGGCGAGAGCTATTGGATATTTTGAAAGGTGCAGGAGGGATGGAGGCTGGAGGGGGGAGAGGATATGTACGTTGTTGTCTGGTGATTGGCATTCAGCTGACTCGTGACTCTCGGCGCTTCCGAGAGGCCGACATGATCTCGAGTCAGCTATTCTCTATCAGCTTACCTTCTCCATGATAAATAAGTAGATAATCATGATAGCAATTTCAAGTCTCAGACGGTGGCCCAGTTTGGCTCTCTGATTTTAGGAGTTTCCATTTTGTTTTCATTTTTTGGGGGAATTATTTGGCAATCTTTACGGAGGGGAAGACGCCCCAGGGGATGCCTCGCACGTTGGATTGAGCATGCATGTGAAGAATCACGTGACCGCGTTGGTTTCGCGCTGCCTTGCCTACCTATGGGCGTCACTTCAGAGAAGGACTCGACGATCACAAGATGCTTCTCCAATAAGAGACCTTCGGGTTTCTCAACGTGCATATGTACAAGAAGTGGCAAAGATATCATAAGATCCACCAAACAATGCATGACCGGGGGTGAATTGACCGGGAAATCGTAGATTTGGTATCAAGCCTCACCATCAATCTAAAATACAATATCGCTCGACGTTCTTGTATCTCTCCTCCAGCGCTCAGCCTGTCGCTCGCTCCAAAACAAGACATCGCCTCGTGGTATACGTCACTGAAGAGAAAGACCCCGTATCTTCAGACTTGCCCATCAAAAGCAAGCCATGCATATGCGTCCATGCCTTCCCAATGTTCAAAACGCCAAGCTGAAATGCTAGATCTTCCTTTTTCCAATACAAATCCTTGCATATGCCCCAAATCTATCGGAGAGATCGATCAATTTTTCTCCGTAGTTCGTTGGCTTGCTCCAGCTCCTCTTCCTGTAAACCGTACTCGATTAATTCCCGCAACATCTGGCTGACATCCTGCGCGTTCTCATCGCTACCGTACAGCCTTTGGTTGGATCGCATGCAGTCCTCGTACCATTGCTGACAGACATACAGAATATGATCCGCGAGGACCCTCTTATTCCGCCCAACGAACGGCGCTGTGTCGTTGTAAAACATGGCTTGGAGAATGGAGATGATGGCCCCGAAAGGAAACCCGACATGAATGAAGAGGTCAGGAAGCCAAGTGCGGGGGCCAACCCCGTTTTGTTCAGTGACAGCGTATTTCTCGAGTGCCGGGATCAGGAATGCCGGGTTGAAAGTTGTTTCGGAGTTCTTGAGACGATGAGACATGTCACGGAACATGTTGATGATTGCCTCGTAGGGAAGCTCAGTTGCGTTTGGATCGCTTGCAACCTTGGCGTGAGTTTGGTCGATAAGGTATTCCCACGTGGTGTTAACGTGTGCCTCGTTGCGGTAGTTTACAGACTCCATGATCTCAAGGCAGATGTCGAAGTATTCGCCTGGATCCGCATAATCGTTGAAGAGCTGGTGTATTTGTTAGCGATTGAAAGCTCTGAGGTTTGATAAATCTTACCGTGTTCATCGGTTGGATCTGGTCATCCAGCTGGGTAATTGCATCAGATTTCCGCTCGGGGTTAATCCTTGGATCACCTTTCAGACGATGAAGAATCTCGTCCTGAATATTGGCAACATCAAGAAACTCAGTAATCTCGTACAATAGGACCTGTCGTGCTTGTCTCCCAATTCCACCACTTTGCGTTGAAGCGTTGGCCTTTGCCCTGCTGAGATACTCGATGCGACGTTCGAGTGGAATGCGAAATTGGCTTTTGGCCAACTCGAGTTGAACAGTAGCAGCATTGAAAAAGTCTTCATGGTGGACGTAGTACTTCCACAGCAAATCAGCTCTTTCGACATTGTTCCTTGATTCTCTTATAAGGAACGCAATAACGTGGGGGGAATTGATGGAGAGTAGTTTATCAGTCCATCCTTGGGTGAGATACCAATCGTATAAATCGAATTGGAACACTTCATCACTGGAGTCATTGACCTCACCATATGCCTCGTTACGCTTTGTAGCGGTAAGAGTTGGTCGGCCATCGATGAACTCTGGTTGTTGACTCGCGACGTGATCGACGATTGTCAATACGTCGTGGATGAGGTTGTAGCATTGCTTTCGGAATTCAAATGCAGCGGCACGTGGATCGTTTTCTGGTTTCCCATCATTCATCCATGCCAATGCTCGGTTTCCCCGGTCGGATTCTTGAGCAACCAGAAGGACCAAGGTGATCGCCCCAGCATAGAATTGAAGGTCCGAAAATTGTTGGACTGCATTTTGAAGATTTTCGAAAGAGAGCGCGGAAGCCACCTGCTGGAAGAGGCGCAAGCTCTCATTGAGGAGGTTTCGACCCATATCAGAGTTTGCTCCAACCTCGGATGCTTTTTTGAGCTGCTCCTGAGCTTTGAAGATGATGACATCGTCAGCACTGCAGAAGCTACCGCAGCGTCTTCGCAAAGCTTCCGCCACCGTGTCAACGTTAGATCCATTCGCGATATTTCGATTGACGATAGCTTTGACGAGAACTTTGGCAAGATCTTTACCAGCATCTGATGAGAACAGAAGCTCATATGTGAGGTCTCGAAGTCGTTGTTTAACAACGTCGTCCAAGGCAGTCCAGATTTCATCTACTCGCTCATCGAACAGCATTTGAACGAAGGAAATCCCTTCAATGATGCTCGAGTTTAACTTCTGAAGAGAATGCAAAGCTTGGTGCTCCCCTTGAAGAGCGATCTCTTCTTGTTGACTGGTAACGCGCTGAAGACTTTCCGGTCCAGCAAGACCTTCAATGAAGGATTTATTCTTGTCCAAAAATGTTGCCAGCTTCGTCAGGTCATCCTGGACCGAGATAAGCTTTGAGAGCGCGATCGTCGAATTAATAGAGATCCCTCCTGTCTCCCCAATTTTCTGAGTGATGACTGATGACTTCCAGAGTGAACGAACAAGTCTTCCCATGTACAATGCCAATCCTTCATGTCGTGCAGATGGCCGTACATTGTCGATGGCATATGTTGGGCCTTCTGAAGCCAAGTTGTCGTTCATCGACGGTCGCCCTCCAAACTCGACGAAGCACTTCCGCGCCAATTCAAGTGTCTCCGGGTCGCTGATCCTCGTAACTCTGGCATCTTCGGGGGCCGGCGAAACATCACTTCCTTGACCACAAGCCACAGCTAGTGCAGTCGCAGTAGTTTCCCCCCTCCCATATTGACGAATAAACTTCTTGATCTCGTTTTCGAATCCTTCGTCGCCACCTCCATTACGGACTGCCGCAGCGAAGATGTCCACCAGGCGTCTTCGTCGAACGATATGAATTCCATTATTCGTCAAGATGGCAATTTCAGTAGGAGGATCATCGTATTGAACAGCGAGCTCGTTTCCAAACCCCAGTGGTTGTTGTGCGGCAGCAAAAGGTTTCGTCACGAGACCAACAGCCTCCGCCACACTATTCAGCTCCAGCCAGGTACCCTGTTCATGATACTTCGAGGCTTGAGCTGTGATATCCCGAGCCTGCGCTGCTATTCGACCTGTATCAGGAGCGGATAGAAAGAGGGAGTCCGCGGTTTCACGACCTGGTTTTCTGACAAAACACAAAAAGAATCCAGGGGGAAATCGCAAGCCGATTCTGGTAAAGCACAAGGACTGAGAAGAAACTTCTGTGGCAGGCTCAGACCCAGCAAATTGCTGCCCGGTTGGCTTCGGGTCCAATCGGGGTGGGAATTTGATGTGTTGGACTTGCATGCTTTGAGGTGCGCCCTGCCCACTGAGGTATCCGTAGCCTCGTGTGGCGCTGAGGAATAATCGACAGCCAGTGCTAGTAGTAGCCATCAAGTGTAACTTTGAACCTTCTTTGGCAGAGATTGGACTAATGGAAACAATCTTCAAGCTATTCGTGAGGAGAGGTGACTGTGAGATCATATGACTGATATCCCTAAGGCATTCCTGTCGCTTTTTCTCGATGACTTGTTGGAGTGTGGTTGGGCTGTCCATGTGAAAGGTTCTGATTGAGGATTCGGATGAGAGGGTGTAGAGTAATCTTCTGGTATCATCCACGACCATATCCACAACGTGCTCCTTGGTCTTTCCTCCCCAAATTGCAACGGGCATGAGTGATGTGTAGCCGGGACTCGTATGATTAATCCTCCCACATCGGCTTGAAAACCACTTCTCTTCTTGCTGGTACGTGAGCTCGTAAACCTCATTGTCTGCGTCTCCGGCGAAAAAAATACGCCCCGTAGCAGCTGACCCCTCGATAGTCCGGACGCTGATACCCCTGATAGAAAGCGACATGCGAGTCTGGTATAGCGACACACTTCTAACACCAGAAGGGCTCAGTGAAGACTCGACTCCCAGCAATATAATTTCTGCCGTAGTCGCAACGACTAGAAGATGCGTTATAGCCTTGACAAAAACCCCAGCTCTTGGAACAACCAGCTTGACAGCCGTAATGGTATTGTTTTGCTCTTCAAACCCAATAACTTCTGGATCCGGATTCGTATAATCCCACAAGTATAATGAGTTGTCGATCCAAACCCAAGCGTGATTCAGCTCCGCGAAGAGGCCCATCGAGGTTGACACTTCTGCACGATTCCATTGCTCAAACACTCTATCTGGGATATCGTACATTTTCGTCCTTTGAAATGGCGCCCATGCGGCTTCGGTCCTCTGATCGGGGAGATCATAGTCGGAGGAGATACCCTCTACATTCACATTAGCTAGGATTTTTCCAAGCAAAGAGCTTACTTACGCCTGACATAGCTATCGAGATCAGGGAAGTTCGCCTCCTTCTGCAGAACCTCATTGATTGTTCGGGCAGCTCGCTGTATGGGTTGCAATGATCGATTTTGGGATCCGGGTCGCGATTGAGAAGATGGCTCTTGTTGGGTAGTCGCGCCTTGAGGAGCTGGAACCTGGGGAGCTCCAGTGGGATTCAATGGGCGAAAAAGAGGAGCTGGAGGAGGAGCTCCAAATCTTGAAGGTGCAGGTGTATTGAAAAACGCGCCTGGTAAAGGCCTTTGGGGAGTCTGCATGACTGGAAAAGACATCTCGTCCCTGGCTGGTTTATCCAGCTACCCTTCGACGCTGACCGCGATACCAGACGCTGCGCTTGACGATTCGATTAAAAAAACTTCATGTGGAGCTATTATAGCATGTATTGCGAGGTCGAGCGTTGTGCGATGGCCAGATTCTTCGAGGTCAAGGATGAGGTTGAGCTGTAAACACCTGCGGGTTCGAGATGCGCCTCGACGCGTAGAATCAGAGAAATTTCCCAATTGTTCAATCACGTGATTGTGAGACAATACAAAAGCACCTGCAGGCTATTGTGATTTTGAATTGAATACACATTCCTAAACTTTTTAGAAAGAGAAAGTGAGCAAATGTATCACAATTCACTTTTCGTAATCTCAATGATGAATGTTGCTGCTAAACAATTGCTGACGGATATATAGATGGAAGCTTCTTACCGTTCTCTTCAGCCTTGCGACACAACCTTCATCTAAACAACCCTTTCTAATACATATTAACCATTCTTAAGTCTATAAGTATAATAATATAACTGCAGAGGCCTACATACAGTAAGACAGCGAAGCAATGGATTAGTACTTTGTCTACAACAACCTTATGATTGAAACCCATGCTTCAACGCCTTCTAGCAATACAACCCTCTCTCTTTTCCACCATATACACTGTGTATCCCCTCATGCCTTCTTCGCATCCCTTGCCGCCTTCTTCAATGCTCTTGCCCTGATCTTCTCATGCATCCCTCTATTCTGGCCCACCACAAAGTCTGCTCCAACACCAAGCGTGTTCTCTATGACCCATTGTACGAGAGCATGTCCCCAAAACGGCGTACTCGTATAGGCCATGTTCTGAGCGCTGCCACTTCTGCCAACCTTACCTAGAACTGCCTTAACAAAGTTCCTCGGGTTCGGGATAAACAAGCTGGGCTTGCGGATCTTGCTCATGGCCGTCGTGATCAGGTTTGCTAGGACTAGCTCGACATCAACGCCAGTTCCTTTGAGTTCTCCACCTAGAGCAGTAGACCACTGTTGCAAGAATGCTTTGGAGCCGGAATAGGTTGCGAGGAGCGGGGTAGGGAAGAGTCCGCCAAAAGAACCCATGGTGAGGATGAGTCCGCGTTTCCGTTGTACCATACGCGGTGCAATGATCTGCGTGACCTTCAATGTCCCCACACAATTGATGGTAATAATATCTAACATCTCTTGTCTTGGTGTTTGAATAAATGGTACAGGCATGCTATGTGACAGCCCCACGTTGTTGATCAGGATCCCAACATCAAGCCCGTCCACCAACGCTTTCAGCTTTGCATAATCTGCATCATCGTTCCGGGCAAAATCCATGGGTAGGGTCTTGGTTTTGATAGCAGAGCCGGCATATTTGTGCTCGATTTCCGATGCCAGAGTCGAAAGCTTAGCTTCTGTGCGTGAGACGAGGACCAAATTGAACCCCTTTTGGGCGAGTTGGATGGCGTATTCTTTGCCCAATCCGTCGGAGGCCCCGGTCACTACTGCCCAGGTACCTTTTGGGCCATAACTTCGCAACTATTGGTTGTCAACTTGGTGGTAATTAAAGGAGAGAGAGGAGACGTACATTCTTCCCCGGAAGCACGAAAAGGCTGAGAAAGAGTCGGAGAAAGCTGACGGCTTTGCTAGAAATGAAAATGAATCCAATTCCCGCAAAGGCAGCGAGAACTGAGTTGGGAATTTCGTTCAACATGGTAGAGAACTCCATGTTGTTGCGGGGAGAGGGTTGTGATGATGGTTGCAGGGAAGTTGCTGAATGGTTGAGAGGAGGGAGCTCGTGAAATTTCTCTTAACGCGACGCGATCTCACTTGACTGACGTCTTGACCTCACAAGAGCCACAACCACAGATCTTGAAGCCGAACTTCTTGTAATACAGTTTTCTACGATACCTAGGAGCTCCGCAGCATCTTCGATCCTTCTCCATAATGGCTTCCATATTGTCCACCATCGCCTCGTATCTTCCTCAACACGAAGGCCTCCTCCCAAAATGGCTCCTTTTCGTATGGTTCCCCCTTTCCCGAATCCCGTTTCTAGCCTCCACTAATATATCTCGATACCTTAGATCTCAGCTGTCTCGATTGGAAACTCGATCCAAACCTATGCAACACTATCCTATACCGCTCGAGTCTACTCCGAGAACCCCTCCCTGAAGAACCCCCCTAAGAAGTCAGACTCGACGGCCCCCTCCTCCGCTGTCTCTGCCTACTCCCATCCAACATCTACCGTCACACCCCTCTCCGCAAGAACATTCGGAACATGGACACTGGTCCAAAGTATGGTCCGTTTATACGCGGCGTATAACATCAGCAATCCCCAGATTTACCAGATGGCCTATTGGACATACGTTATTGCCTTTGCGCATTTCATGAGTGAGTGGTGGATTTTTGGGACCACAAAATGGGGTGCCCCATTAGCAGGCCCGGTAATTGTGGCGAGTTCAAGTTTGATCTGGATGTGGTTGCAGTGGGAATATTATGTTCAATGATCGCGAGCGGAGTTGGGAGAGCGATCGTGGTTATAGAAAAGACACGATGAGGCAAGAAGTCTATTAAGCTGATCTAATACTAATACTGGAGCTGTTATGGCTATAGATACCAATTTATTTCAGATGCTTCCTGTAAAGTTCCCCGCCACAATCCCTCAATCTAGCAGCTGCTTGCTCAGGTGTGATATCCCGCTGTGGCTCCGCCATCAACTCGTAACCGACCAGGAACTTTCTAACGGTAGCACTCCTGAGAAGCGGAGGATAGAAGTGCATATGGAAATGGCTCGCTTCGATTTCCTCGTCTGTTCCTTCAAGCGGTGCTTGATGGATTCCCGAACCTGTCCAATATCAGCCATTTAACGGAGAGAAAAGGACGCAGGACTTACTGTAAGGGAAACTCGTCTCGAACAGATTATCATATCTTCTTGTAACCTCCGCAATTGCCTCAGCAAAATCTAATTTCTCACCATCGTCTAAATCCACCAGTGCTCGTTTATGCTCCTTACTTATGATCATGACTTCGAACGGCCAGATTGCCCACCAAGGACAGACGACCAAAAAGCTCGTATTCTGGAATACGATCCGCTCTTTCTTCTCCATTTCAAGCTTGGCGTAATCTCCTAATAGGCTCTTACCGTTGTGCTCGCGTCGGTATTTCTTCAGCTGTTCGAGTTCTTGGGAGGGCTCCTCTGGCAGACCGGTAGTTGTCCATATCTGACCATGAGGATGTGGGTTGGAGCAGCCCATTGCCGCGCCTTTATTTTCAAAGATCTGCATCCATCTGTACTGGGCATTAGGCGCAGATATAGAATTGCTTGCTGGTGCTATAGTGGAGGGTTTGGAGACAGCTGCCAGGGGTGACTTGGGGGAGAGATGTGCTGTATATATTTGTGTCCATGTTTGGATTACGGGGAGAATTTCGTTCGGTGTCAGGTCTGCGAGAGTGAGATTGTGCGATGGCGAGAAAGTTATAACGTAGCATTTTCCTGTGACGGGGTCGGCGCGGAGGAGGAGGTTTGAGAGATCTACCGAGCGGTCAGTAGATGGTTGCGGAATCGAGTAGGCAGGTGGGATAACCATTTGGATCCCCTTGTTGCTTGTATTCCGCTTGTTCCTCCTTTACTGCACTGTAGTCATTGACAAAGACGAATGTACTCTTGTATTGTGGGTTCAAATCCCCTTGCGCCCGCTTGTTTCCGGGACAGAGATAGCACTTGAAGAACCATGAGGAGCTTGTTTGGTTTTGCACAGGGTCGATTTGCATACCGATGGATCGTATTCAGGGAGGGTAATCTTCGACGCAGCTTCTTGTTGTCCTCTATTTCAATTAACCCAGCAATTGCGAGGGGAACTGGGGATCTTACTGCCATGGTCTCTTCGTGCGGTGGGGGGAAACCAGCAGCCATGTACCCCGCAGTGGATTGTATCGGCGATGAGAGATGTCGTCCAAGATCTTTTCCGGCATCGTGTTAATGGTCTCGTTACTGTGAAAGGGAGAGATATGACGGACAAGCCTTTGGAGGTTTTCCAAGGTATTTACTTGTTGTTATACATATAAGAATCAAAATATTGTAAGAACCAAAGCGGGGTCGGGCCTTTTCTGGGTCTCGCGTCTTATCGTCTCGTACAATTCTTCATCTTTCTTGCGCTCCAATCATTCTCTCACATTTACTCCAGCTACTCCAACAAATCGCGTTATATTCCATTACTAGCCGATAGACCTGCTCTCCTGAATTAGAGGAGGACCGCCTTGCTACAGCTATTGACTCGTCGACGTTGTTGAACACCAGTCAAAGTCGACTTCAGCTTCACTACGGCGGCGCAGATATCGGAGCTACCGGAAGAGCCTCCTCGAAGTCGACGGAATGACTCAATCAAAGGATTTTCTTGTTTTTATCATTCCAAACATTTTTGGCATCGATCGTTTGAAAGGGTGGAATCTCTGGATCTCACCGTTCTCTCGTGATCCCGCAATCGTAGCAAGATCTCGGGTTCATAGACGAAGCCCCACATCAGCAGTCAAAGGGGTTTTGAAAACCAAATGTGCTCCTTTCACATCCTTCGCGATGCTCCTAAATTACAGACCCTTTATTTTGTCCTTCTACAGGTCTCCCACGAACGTCTTGGACTTCGTATAATATGTAGGTCGCCCATATAAAAGCTACATATCAAAAGCTACAAAAGCAACCGGGCGATTTGACTATAAATTCTTCCAAAAGCAAAGTGTCAAAGTCGACATTGCTATCAGAAGGCTTGGTATTTTACCACAACCTCGCCACGAATCTCCTCTATATACACACAACACCGTGGTTTAAGTACACGTACAAGTTAGTAAACACAACTATCATGAAGCATGCGTTTAGAGCTCTCCCTACGAATGAATAGCTAGCTGCAAGCGCAGCAGATCTCCATCACCGATCCATTTCGCAAGGATCGAATCCCCAGAGTACCATTCGACAAAGAGGCCTCAATTCGAAATTCCCATGTTTTTGCGAGGTTGAGGTACGAATCCGGTGCTGTGCTTGGATTAGGAATTAGTGAGGTGAGGAGAGGAGTGGTAGGGAGTAGTTAGATTCTGAGATGTGCGGGGAGGGATTAGCGAGAGCATCCCACCCCCCCCCCTCCTTTTCTAAGCGAGTGGGATGTCGACGACAAACAGCTTTCTTGGTATAGAAGATGCAGTACTTTCATGATATGCCCCTCTTTCGAAAGTCCAAAATATCAAAAACTCAACCCCCTAATGCTCTTGCCTCTCCACACCTTTTCTCCAGTCATAACCCTCGATTCATCACTTCGTTCCAACAAGCCATTGTTATTCCAGGGGATATATAAACCGACATAGCGGTGAATATAAAAAGTCTATATATAGATAGATGTGCAGTGAGCAAGAGAAAACTCCCAAGACTATTGATTGGATAATGTAAAGACCATACATACATGGATGCAGCTTTTTCTTTTTTTCCCTTCGAGAGAGAGAGGGGGGGTAACTGCATGATTAGCGTACGGATGAATGGAGGGGTAAGCGCGGGGTTCTCAACCTCCACATGCGCACAGAGGCAGGATTGTGGTTTAGGAATAGGGAGGGGATTAAATAATTATTCATTTTGATTAATTGGTAACTCTGCTACATACAGACGGAACGCAATATGTAGATGAACGACTGGTATCAACTCCACACACGAACAGAAGCTCCGATGACTCCCCATGTAATTCAAGCCTGCGTATACGACAATCGCGACGCGCTGACCGCCCCGTGCTCGGGGGTCGTTTATACCATGTTCTCCCTCTCCTTTAGGCGCTGGCTGCGGCCCTTGATGACAGTGCTGAGATCACCGACTGGGAGCTGGAAGGGGAAATCCAGAGCGGCCAGCATGATGGCAAAGAAGAGCCACCAGCCAGCGAGTGAGGAGACGAAGCAGAAAGCGCCGGCCGCAATCTGTAGTCTATTGGCGAGATCGAGCCTATTTAGGGCGGCGTTGGGGGATGTGGAGGACATGCCGATGGCATTGGCATTTTGCCAGTAGGTGCCGGCGAGGAGGCCGAAGGCGATGACGAGGCAGATGAAGATAACGACGAAGACGACGTTGGTGCGGAGTGAGCAGACCAGATAGACGAGGCAGAGGAGACCCATGAATAGGAGGAAGAAGGCAAAAGAAGAGGTGAAGCCAACGGTGGTCATGCCTTCTGCTTCGCTCCCTCCGGCGGGGGCGTAGGACCCGTACGCGTAATAGAAGGGTTGGAGGGTTGCGGCGAAAGCGAGCCAGAAACCGCCGAAGGACATAAAGACGACAAATGGGAAGGTGTTGCCGAGGATGAATTCGAGAAGACCGCCGATGATCATGAGAAGACCGCCAAAGAAGTAGTAGACTCCGCTGCACACGTGTTAGTTAATTGAGATATCGAGAGGATTGTCATAAAGCTTACATCGAGGCTGCACCATTACCGCCAGATCCTCGCCAGCCCATCAGATCACAAGACAGAGGCGTCAGAGAGAGGAGGAAACCAAGCAGAGCACTGGATGTATCATCAGCATGGATGTATGATTCCGCAATGGTTGACTTACACAGGTGTTGGGTTACCAAAGGTCTTTCGGAGATCACCCTTGACAGCAGTCTGTGGAGAGAGATAGATCTTCTCGAAGAGTTCGGGTGAGATCGAGATGCTGCCAGCAGTTCTGATTCTCCTCAGCGCAGCTTCATTGTCCATGTTTATATCGCTCAGATGGTTTCCGTTGGTTCCATTGGTTCCAAGCTGGGGAGAGAAATCCTTTTCTAATGGATCACCATTTCCATTTCCCGTTGTAAGGGGATCCTCGTGGTGTTCTGATGACATTGTGATCGATTGGGATGGCAAAATGATAGGGTAGGACGGGGAATGGTATGTAGGCACGAAGTGATGTATGACAGCAGGAAAAATAAGCTTCTTTATGGGGGTTGGAGGGGTTTATGAACCAACGCCCTCATCTCTAGACTGTTGCATCTAGAGCCCCGGAGCCCGGATTGAAGGAAACTTTGATAATTCTCCTCCATTCTTTCACAGACGAGTCAATCAGAAGACCCTGGTAAGTCCAACTCATATCACAGCCTGATCCTTGACCTATCCAAAGGTGTTTAAGCGTCGAGGCTACCGCTGGGTTAGACCGTGGCGGAGGAGGATCTGGGATGCCGGGCCGCAGAGACGCGTCCCTGATTGGTACCATATTTGCGGGGGAAAGTCTATTGAATGGATCCAAGCACAACTCGAGCGTCCCCCCTTTTTCCATTTAAAATATCGATTTCCAAGAAATGAGGGGAATTTAGACTGTTAACGCCTTCAAGGCGTTTCTGAGCTTGGAAGACCTCACTCGAGGCCCGTGTTTCCCTGTACTAATATCGTCTTCTCATGCAGAAATCTGGCACTTTTTAGAAAATATCGTACGTCTTCACATGGTGAAGCAGGTATTTCAAGATCACGGAAGGGAGGGGAATTATGGCGCCGTGCAATCCAATCAGAATCCAACAATGTTGTCTTCGCAGGCACGAACAACACTGTATATGAGACCCCTGCGGCGCCACCACAAACGCCGCTTCACGTGTTCCTCAAAGAGGATAAAGGCCGGTCAAGTGGAAGCGGCATTGACCTACGGCAGTAAGACAGCGGTGCATCGTAAATCCATGACGCAGAAATGCGGGGAAACACTTAACCCTCGAGTTGAGCGCGAAAGGCCGAGTTGTCCCGCGAGGGGATTGGCCGGCTGGGGAGGAGAGCGTAGGATTGCTGTACTTCTTGCTGGCGTCATGAGGATGGGAAAATGATGTTGTCAAGGGGCGGGGGCGAGTGGGTTGAGGTTGTAGACTCGTAGAGCCTCGACGCGAGTGGCGGCGATGTCTGCAAGTCTGGGCCCTTCCCGAATTCTGCTAAATCCCCAGATCCGACGAAAGCTGGGGATTAGACGGGAACGGCTGGCTGGACATGGTCGATCACCAGCAGCAAGCCAACCAACGCCCTCAAGGACAAATGGATCCGCTTCTACCCCAGCTCTCCGCCTTCCGGGTGAATGATCCGAAATCATCTCCTCTCAACCGGTCTCCATGGAGGTCTATAGCACGATCAGCAACAATGCACATACTGTGAGAGTCGTGGCAGCATTTACTGTAGTTCCAATAACATACCTAGGTAAATGTCTAAGACATGTGATCTTAAAATTTTATGTTCCTTGCAGGCTTGGAGCATGGCTTTTCCGGGGAGATTCAAGTCAGAAATACCTCTTCCGTATATACTTGACAATACAACGGTATATAAGTGTATTCGCCCGAACATCCTGGAAGTCTGCCATGCTATACGGACTCTGCATAACTAATCCTGGGTGAAGTCCTGAAATAGCAAGGATTCGTCAATATATTGTTGAGCTTTAGGGTCCCGGTACCTACCTACTTCCTCGTGTGCAGACTGTTCCTTGGTCAATATACCTCGGTCGTATCCTTCCTCGTGTCTTCCCCCTCTCGCAGAAAGAGGCTTCGATGCACGACAATGACTCGGCCGTGTGCTTACTCGTGACGCGCCGTGGTCTGTGGTTTTCGCGGGGTGTGGAGATGGTGGGTTCATGCGCCCCTGTTTTCTGGAGTCCAGGGTGGGGAAAATGAGAAAACATTGGCCGTTCTCCACTCAATTGCGATGTGCAACAAAGATGTGGAAGGTGGAGGATGTTGAAAAGAGGAAGAAGTCGGTCTGGGGATTCTGTTGGGTTTCAACTTGGGTTTTTGCGCTGTAAGGTACCTAGGTAGGTTTCTCTTTCTTTCTCTGTCTGTTGGATTCGTGCAGAGTATATCTGATCCATCCTCTTTTACAACTGATTGTAGGATTACTAGAATTGTTATCATCAATCTATACAATCTTCCTTCTCCATTTGCTCAAAATATCAAAAACAAGGTACACGAGTGACGAGATACTCCCAAGCCAAAAATCAATTTCCACAGGTCCCTGCCTCCTCACGGCAAGGAATTCTGGTTCTTAGGATCTAATTGTATAGATACGAGAGCTAGAAACATCCTATTTCGTGTATGAAAGTATTCTGGATGGGATGTTAGGATCAATGACTGTGGGTTTAGCAAGGAGGCAAGGAAAGTAGGGTTTTGCAAGAGAAGATGGGTATTATTCATCCATCTCGATTTTTCTTTCCTCCCTTTCCATGTCCTGTTGCATCCTCCAATCTTGTAAGCCGGCCCCAAGAAAAGGAAAAAACCCTCCCCAACCCTCCCCAAACACTCCAACACCCCCCTTCCCTAGATACCCCTCCTCACACTTCTAACAACCTCTCCCGCTTCCTCCACCTCCTCCCCTCCAACCCGCCCCTCTCCCAACCAACAACCCCCACCAGCCCCACAATCTGCAGCACCGCAACCACAATAGCAAACTCTTTCAAGCCCGCTACCATCCCCCGCCCCCCTTGCACCCAGCCAGGAACCGCCATGATGAAGATGCCACTCAGCAGATCCTGGCACACGCGCCATGCGTTCTGAACCTGCACTCCATCCTCCACCTCCGCATGTAAATCCGCACGCGCAACAACACCCAGCACCGCTGCGCCCGCGACCAAGATCCCAAGCAGCAGCGACACGACACGGAGGCTCAGCTGCGAACCCCCAGAGACGAAACCCGTGGCGCGCGAATTGGGGGGAGTCAATTTGGAGGTCGTGTAGAGAGCAAATGATAATATGCCCGCGATGCCTAATATGATACCTAGCACGACTACGCGGGGATTTATCGGTGAAGAAGCTTTTTGAGAAGGGCGCGAGGCGAGGAATGCTGCGGGGATAAAAGCGCAGATCGATAGGATGGCGGGGAGGATAAAGAGGAAGCCAAGATACGAAGGGAAGAGGAGCGTGGGCATGACGGCGAAGAGCAGAGAGAGTGAGCTGGCGAGTCCGAAGGCGGAGGCAATGGTTGGGCCGGTGAGGAGGAAGGTTAGGAGTGTAGAAGGGGTGGTGAATGCGCGGAGAGGCCGTAGTGCGGTGTGGGCTTTGAAGGGTTGGGTGTAGGGGATAAATCGTAAACTGGAAACGTATGTGCGGAAAAGGGAGGAGGGAGAAGGGTTAGAAGTCATGGTGGAGATTGGTGCGGATGTAATGGGAGTTGTAGGAGATGAGGAGCGCAAGAATGAGGTTTCGGGCAGGAAGAAGAGCAGAAAGAAAACGGAGAAGGCTTGGATAATGATCACGGCCATGATTGCGGTCCGGAATGAGGCCCTGTTCTGGGACAGGTAGCCGCCGAGGATAGGGGAGCCCCAGGTAAAGAAGAGGGAGGTGATGGAGAGTATGTTGAAGCGGAGGGGAAGTTCATGAACCTTGCATCGTCGCTATCAGTTAGGGGTCTTGGATTGAAATTTGGATGGGGTACCTACGAAGAAGATATCTCGAACGGACATCATTACCAGCCCTTCAAAGGCACCCCAACCCACACCCTGAAAGATCCTCGAGGCCATAAACTGCGCGTAGCTTTCCATAACATGCATATTCCACAACGCAGCCAGCAACATTAAGATCCCCGCCAGGCAGTGGATCAATCGCTTCCCAATAGCTTGACTCAAGATGGAACTCCCGAGACTGGAGATCGCAGCAACGATGAAAGGGATGCCGGTGAGTGCCGTTGCGCCCATATATGAGACGTTATATTGCATCGCGATGACACTGTTAGTCGTCACGAATAGTGTTTTCAGAATCCCAACTACGGCCGTTGAGAGGAGGAGAGTGAAGAAGGCTGTTTCTTTCTTCCATGTTGGCCAATTCTGTTCTGGTCAGCTGCGATCCTATTCAAAATTCCAGGCAACGAGAGACTACAGTAATTGCCTTCGATGTGAAGAGTGAGTCTCAATTGTGAGAAAGGGGAAGACAAACCAAAGGATCCCTCGCCCCATCACTACTCGATCTCGGAGCCAACACTCCGTCCGCATCCCCCAATTTCATCCGTGAATTCCCTTGCAGCCTGCCAGCAGGTTCACCATCCCCGACCTTCTCGCTATCCTGGAGGACAGAGCGAATTGGTACTTTCGAGAGGTTCTTCTTGAGCACGCTTTTTGGTTTCTGCAGGAAACCCATCATCTCTGCATTCAATCGCTCCCGCTATATTACCTAGGTACTCACACAGGCTTCGCTTTCCAGAAGACGACGCAAAATTAAATAAATCAACGAATGAACGAAATAAAGATACGAACTCATCCGTAGTATCAAACTACACCAGAACAAAACCATGAATGAGACATTGAGAAAGAAAATAGAGCAAGCGTACGCAAGACAAGAACCACAACCTGCATAACCTTCCCAAGCTCGCTTCCCCGCGCATGAACGAAATGAACAGGAGCATATAAGAAAATAGCAGCAAAAGAAACCACCTTTATGCGTAAGCCCCCCAGTCACTTGATTATCAGACTAAGTCTGTGCATTTGTGGCGTCCTGCAAACCCCATACCCCACTACCTTATCCTGACCACATCGTAACGCATAGACCTCGTCCAGCTCTGAAACGCAGCCGAGTCGTCTCTCTAACTCAGCTGCGTTTCGGAGTCGCTTTGTCTTGCGCTGCCCTGTCAAAGTAAATGAAGAAAACTAAAGAGTTGAAATCCATTACCGCTTATCGCCTTTTGCGAGGCTGAGTATATGGATCAATTCATGTTGTCTGGTATCGGGATGTACAAGGAAGCTCTGCATCGCAGAGAGGAGGCAAGGTTCTGAGGACTCAAGTGAGAAATGGTCAAAAGGAACGCATCATTTTATTCGAGTCTCGATCTGCATCTACTCACTTGGAAACCAATCCCAGGTCCTCGTAAAACGCCTTCGTGCTGGGAGGTCTGCCCAGGAAATCCTCTAAGGTTTTCATTTCCTCCTGGCTGCCGCCCTTCTCAAGCACCATATGTCTGTACCGGCGACCCTCTTTCTTACTCATTGGGTCCTTCTTGAAGACGCTGTAGAACATATCTGTTGAGTAGACCTGGCTGCTCAAGTATCCGTAATAGCCCGCGTCATACCCGCCGATCAGATGGCCGAACGTAGCTTGCCCGTGGCCCCAATCGGACTTCAACCCTAGTGCTTCGGGACCTTTAAGACCTGCAATCTGGGTTCGCAGGTTATTGTACAGCTCAGAGTAGTTAATGCTTTCAGCCTCTTCGTGCGACTTGGGGGTGTGCACTGTCATATCGAAGATTCCAAAATGGAGTTGGCGCAGGTTGAAGATGGCATCGTTGACATGCTTTGCAGCAATTTGCCTGTCAATCAATTCATCCGGTATCTGCTCTCCGGTTTTGTAGTGTTTGCTCAAGCTCTTCAGCACGCTTGGGGTCCAACACCAATTTTCGAGCATTTGACTTGGTGCCTCCACAAAATCTCCCACGACGCTCGTTCCATGGAATCTCGAGTATTTGGTTCTTCCGGCAAGATCGTGAATTCCATGACCCAATTCATGGAACAGGGTGACTACCTCGTCGTGTTTCAGTAACGATGGCTTGGTAGCAGTCGGCTTGGAAAAGTTGCAGACGAGTGCAGTGGCAGGGTATCGACGGGTTCCATCGGGGTAGAGATAGCCTGGCTGCAATGAAAAGTTTGCTGCGTGACCATATTTGCCTTCGCGGGGATGTAGGTCCAGGTAGAGGTAGCCGACGAAAGAGCCGCCTTCCTCTTCATCGTCCCAAACTGTGAATATTTTGACATCTTCATGCCAGGAGATATCGTCCACTCCGTTTTCTGATAGGAATTAGAGTATGGAAGGAGGGAAGGGGGAGTCACATACCAGATAACTTAGCTCGGTCTTCCGGTTGTACTTCGACGAATACAAAGCCCATGAGCTCCTCAAAAATACCCAACATACCCTCAATAGTTGATTGTAGTGGGAAATACTCCGCGATCTTCTGTTCATCAATCGAGAACTCCTTCTCAACCATCAGGCGGTTGTAGAAGCGATGGTCCCAAAGATAGTAGTTTCCATCATTAGTATTTTCCAAGCCACGGGCTTTAAGATCCTCTGCTTTGATCTCCTTTAAGTGTGAGGTCTCCTTCTCTCCACCTGGAGCGAGCTGGACCCTCAAATCATCGAGGAAATCATTGACAGTCTTAGGTGTCTTCGACATCTTATCCTCGATCCTGAATGAGGCCCAGTTAGGATAACCGAGGAGTCTAGCAGCTTCATCTCGAAGTATGATTGCTTCCGAGAAAAGTTTGGCATTTTGGTTGCACTGGACCTGATCAATAACTGTTACCGCCACCAAGAAACTTGACTGACCTTATTCTCGTTCGAAATGAACACCGTTTTCCTGGTCTCCGGATTCAAAGCAAACTTCAATGTAGGGAACAAATCCGGATACTTGAAAGTAAGCCTGAGTTTGCCTTCGTTGTCTCCCGTCCCCTTTTCAAGCCCCTGCAAAACATCATCCGGCACGCCTGCAAGCTCAGCCTTCGAGAACCAAATGCCCCCAAGCTCCTCGTTCAAGTTCTTCTGGAACTCAATCGCGATCTGCGACAGTCGCTTCTTGATCTCCTTGAAGCGGTCTCGTTGTGGACCGGCAGGGATGCCCAACCCGTTCTTGATGTATGATTTCCGCTCCTTCTCTAACAACCTTCGACTCTCGGCGTCCAGCTTCTCGTTCTTCTTGTATGCCGCATCGACAAGCTTGAAGATGTCCTCGCGCATAGAGGCCTCAATTGAGAAGTCGTCTATGATCTCCTCAGCCTCTGACGATGCAGCGCGCAGAGTAGGGTCTCCCGACACAGCTTGGTAAAAGCCGATGATTCTGCTTTGCAGCCCGGCCGTATTCTCATCTTCCGCAATTGGTAGGATAACGTTCTCGAAGGTTGCCGTCTCGGGTGTGACTTCTGCAGCAATCTTGTCGAGCAGCGTTCGCGTGTTGCTGCAGATTGACCTCGCGTCGTCGATCAGAGAGGTACTCGTAGCGGTGAAGCTGGGGGGTGCCTGCGGAGGAGTCCTGTATTGTTTCCGCGCCATGGTGCTTGTAGTTATTCCTCTGAATACAGGGAGAGAGGAAGGTCGATTATAGGTAGGTCGTAGCTGGGCAAAGAGGGATGCCAGCCTCGAGCCGACTCGCGAAGAAGCCAGGATGATTGTTATGACGGTGAATAGGATCGAGAAGAATCCTAGACCGAGACGAGGAGAGCGCGCCAGATTCAGACTCCTCGCACAGGCGAGAAGTATTCTTGTCAGTGATTGGGCCCGGGACACAGAATTGTTGCAGCGGATGTTCAATGACACCGTGACGCGGATGGACTTGATGGGCAACAGGGGTCAGTGCCGTCAAAGATCTGGGGTCCACCGGGAGACCAGGGTAGGAGAGCGGCAGAAGAAAACGACCGAGCAGCAGCTATTAGAATAGAAGGCTGAGGCTCAAAGACAAGCATAGATTTTTCGTCTTTGATTACTTTACTTTTGCTTTTAATCCTGCCGCAACAGGTACCTGCTTTTAGGTCCCATTCAATGACAGCACGTGACGCGACATACAAACCTCAACGACACAAGTGCTATTTCTTGATAGGAAGGTCACATAAGGTAGCTAAGTCAAAGAGCGCTCTTAAGTCCTACAAAAGGGGATGTTAGAAACAACTCTTCTAGTCGAATATGGCATGTAAGTTATACGTCTAGCCTCCAGAGTGACAACTTGGGAATTCTATAGAAGTATGCCCAATATAAGTCATTGGCTAATAAATACATAGATATCTGGTATTTGCTTCCTAGAGAAAGGTAAACGATATCTCGACTATGTCACTTCATGTTGATTGATGCCTTGCTCCTCCCTAACCTCCTTTCTAATCTTTCAGGGGGCTTTAAGCGGAACAAGATTCAAAGCCTTCTTCAGATCTCTGGTCAATATATTGATTTTGTACATAATAAAGCGCTCTCTATACCTGAGCTTTATAACGGTCTGAACTCCGTCGCTATGAGGATACCCATTTTCGCCGTCCCAATGCCCAACCTTTCCAAACGCCTTCGCTAATGCAAGATCCTATTCAAACACTTTTCGAACCCCCTTGATGAGCCTTATTGACCAATCATATTAGAAATAACTCTATAGTAATGGCACCGATCCTTCTGGACAGGATCCACAACCTCCATGCCCACATTCTTTGGGTCATTTGGGAAATGCAACCTCGCCATAGCGGGGCCGAAGGGTGCCCACGCTGGTGCGCTCGGAAGCTTGTAGGTATTTGGATCCTTAGTGCGGATAAACGACGTCCAGTAGCTTTGAATGGTGGGAATGAGTTTTCCTTCCACCCCAGTCGCGGAGCCCCATATAGAAGACATTTCCTCAGTGTGCGTCACTCCTAATCCCGACGCTTGGTTTGCGCTAGTCAAAACGTCCCAACTTCTCTTGTCAGTACATGCATTGGTAGTGTGGAGAAAGGGGCTTACTGGTAATGCCAGTTGGTCTGCCCGCCACCGTAATTTTGGTACATATCATTCAAGAATATACCGGGACAGTTGTACCGGATCTCACCATATGCAGTGGCGGCGGTTGACCACCACGCTCCTTTACCCTTATAGCGAGTCTTATCTTGGGGGTAGAACTTATCGATCTGGTCAAGCTGACCGGTGCTCAGCTTCACCCAGTTGTTCTTCAGGAAATTGTTCATGTCTGTGAGTGTGTTGATATTAGGGGGAGTGAAGATAGTGCCCTCATTTGAGACGCCACTTCGTATACTTAGCAGAGTCCCGAACAATGGAATTGAGAACATACCCGAATATGACTGGTACCTTGATGAAATTTCCAGAACCGTATGCATTGTACGTGTAATTTTCACAGAATCCCCCAGGTCCCTCGATGACATTCCCGTACATGAATACTGGAAGACCGTTGGGGACACCGCCAGGGGTTGGCATGTTGATGTTGTTCTTGGCTATAACTTCCACGTCTAGATCACGAAGACATTTCAGTGTATCTGGTGACTTGTCACATCCTGTACGCTGGACAAGGCCATCGTACTGGTATTGTGACTCCTCAACCGTCAGTTGTGCACCAAAGGAGTTGCTCTCTCCTATAGCAGCATGAAACAATCCATCATCGCGGCCTCCATATGCGATAAGGTGAAGGTTGACTGATGCTGCACCAGCAGAATCTCCGCCAATTGTCACGTGCTTGGGATCACCCCCGAACTATTTCTCTTGTGAGCGCCTATCCAAAGGTGAAGGATGACCAGCGTACCAGATGGATATACTTTTGTACCCACTGCAACGCCTTCCTCTGGTCCAACAATCCAGCGTTCAGATCCCCTCCCGCCTTGACCTCCTTACTAGCCAAGAAACCCCAAGGACCGACGCGATAATTGAAAGTGACAACCACGATATCATGGTCTCCGGCTTCGATCAGACTGGAGCCGTTCAGGTTTGCGTTCGAGAGAGAATTGAAGCCGCCTCCTTGAATGAAGAAATAGACAGGATGAAGAACAGACTTGTCCGCGGGGGCATAGACGTCAAGGAAAAGGCAGTCTTCCGAGGTTCTAGGGTCAAGGCTGGTGGAAGGAGTAGAATGGCAGAGAGCTCCATGCTATAACAGGTCAGTGGATATCATGGATATCAAATGAAGAGATTATGACATACTTGGTGTGCAGTCTGTCGTGGAGCAGCTAATGGTTCCTGAGGGGCTCTGAACCTGAGATCTCCGGTGGGTGGTGCTGCGTATCTCATACCCAGCCATTGATTGATACCATTGGACGATTTACCTTCATATTGAGTGTAACCCAAATCAACGATTAAGTCTGGGTTTGCTTTGGTTCTAACGACGAGAAGAGGAACGATGATGACGATCAGGATTGGAAGCAACATTACGAATGCTAGCAGCACCCAGAACCTCCAGGTTCTCCGACGGCCTCTTGTGACGAGACGTTTAAGATTTAAGATTGAAGCGTGGACGGGGAGGAGCGCCTTAAATCTTGACGAGGCGGGTGCGCGGGATGCCACCGAGTGAATGGAGATGTACTCAAGACCCGATTCAATTTGGCCATGTTTAAGAGGTGGGATCTTATCGTGGAGGGAGGCGGAGGGGAAGGATGGAGGAGGATTGCTTGTAGCCTCGCTCAGCCTGCCGTCATGGCTGCAGCTGTTGGCGGACCGGGGAGGTTCCATTTTGCCCAATAATTACGCCGGAGCCAGAAAGCCACACCTGGGCCTGGGCCGTGGCTACAGCTTGGCAGGAGGCAAAGGGCGGCGTTGGTCGGCCTGCTATAAGGCCATTATTCTCCGATGACACTACTTCGTGAGGAGTGTGATTTTGCGTTGATTTCACTCGCCAAGCGGTGCGAAGGCCGCGAGGATAGATGTGGATTAAATGACGTTTGCAATTATTATTCCATACTACAGTGATTGTGATTGATCAGACAGGAAGCTTTGAAGACCCATTGATTCAACTTACTGAGCAGTAGGGGTAGAAGTGATTCCCCGAGTTACTGAACTCAATTGTCCATCGAGAGCATGCGACCGTCGGAGAATTAAAGGCAGTAGCCTGGATCTCGGCCCTGTCGATCGTGGCGGGGTCTCGAGAGATGCGCGACTGACTGGAAGGAATGATTGTCAAACAAAGGCAAAAGTTTCAAAAATAAACTCAGGCTGGGTAGGATGAGGCTTTTCAGAATCCTGCTGAGAAAAGAGCAACGAGAGGGAGAGAGAGAGCGAAGGTTTGTAGTAAGCGCAGGAAGGGGAGGGGGGGGCAAAAGATAGCAACAGATATCTCGGCAAGCTTATTTATCAGGGTCAGGGCCGGCCAGAACCAACGGCGGGGCTAATCCGATACGAGGTTTGGCTAGATGGGGCGGTGCGGAGTGCCAGTGCCACAGACGGCGGCCCACTGTAATTTTAGGGGATCCTGCATTTGCCTCGAACTGGCATCGTGCTCACCTCACGTGGCTTTGATATCGTGATGTTCGTCCAATGCCTGGGCGGCGCAATCATCGTGCCCTGTCAACGACAGAGAGGCTGCTAGCCCAACGTTTCATCCAACGTGCAGATCTCTCTGGCTCGGAGCCTTTGAGACGCTGACATTATTATGCCATGTTGCTGCAGTATGTTGTCAACAAGTAATGTCAAAACTCAAGGGCACCTGGGAATCACCTCACGCAGAAGCAAATCGAGTGTGGATATCCGTTCATCATTGCCCCATTTTCTAATCCGACACCCATACCTTCACGGAATGTCTCTCGTCCACTATCAATCCTCACTCTCGTCCCCCCAGAGCTTCATCGGGCTCGCTGCCGGGCTTGTCTTGATCCTGGGTCTGCTCTTGAACACACTCTCATAATCCGGATCGCCTTCAATCAGCTCCACCGGGTCAATACTCGGAGTTATGGGTTCTTCCTCAACTTTGGGGAAATAGCTCGACTCTCTCTGTCGTTTCTGCGCATCTTTCAAACTCCTCCTTCTTTCTATCTGTGCTTTCTTCTGTGCCGCTTCGAACCCAGCCATGCTCTTCCGGGTCCGCTCGATGAGGTCTGCATGTTTGTCTTCCTCCGACGCGATGGATAGCCTCTTTGCGGGTTGGGGTTTGGGTCTGAGTGATAGACGTGGTAGGTCTGCCAGATTGTCCAAATCGTCATGGAGGTCTGAGTATTTGGAATGCGAGGCCCGTGACATTGAGAGCCGCGTTCGTTCTGCAAGTGAAAGTGTATGCCTCTTCTTGGGGGAAGGCGAGGAGGCAGAGACAGAGTTCAAGATTTGATCTGCTAGGTCGGACTCCGACTCACCTGACTGTGTAGGTTCGGGGATGGAAATTTGTTGAGGGGTGTGAGAATGAAGTGAAGGCGGCCGACGCCATTCACGAAGCTCTTGACTCTCTACCGAAGTCTCTTCCCTGTCCAACCCCGGATCGTCCTTAACATGAGGACAATCAATCTTTTGGATTTGGGAATTGTTCGGTAGAGACTCTCTTTCGGGGTCAACCCCAGGTACTTCTGCTGTCTTATCCGACACGGGTCTTATAGTGTCCATCTTCGGATCAGGTGACGGTTCATCTATGTCGCTGGCTGAGGACCACGCTTCATTATTTGTCTCTGCTATAGGAGATTCACCCTTTTCAATGATCGGAGAGGCCGTGGTGGAAGGAGTTCCCTCTGGGACGAAACTCTCCATAGATGGTCGTTGTCGCGTCGGTGTTCTCCCAACATTTGCCATCTCAGTCTTCATGTTCTCAATAAGTCGGGTATATTCCTCGAGTGATGCATGGTTTATTGCTTCAACCGTTTGGCCCAGTCTGTTCCGACTAATCTGCAAACTTTCGTGTAGGTTGAAACCAAGATCGATTTTTTTGCCATCTACCGAGGTTGGTCCGCTCTTCTTCGAAGGAGAAGGATTTTCCGGTTTCGATAGGGTCTTTCCAAAATCCTGCCACCTTGCTAGTCGAGTCTCTTGATCCCTAACTCGTGCATCCAATTGCTCGAGCAGCCCAACCTGTTTCTTCCCCTCAACATCGCCAATACTTCCGTCTTCTACATGTTTCCACACCTTGTCGAACTTTGTTGCCAGAAGCCCCTCACCATTAACCCTGCTGTCCCCGTACAAGATGGAGTCCAACCACTCATCCCTACCCAGCCAATTCTTCCGTACTTGATCCTGTAGTGCCCTGACTTCTTTATCTGGTATTATATTCTCTTGTGTGCCACGCTCCTCAATGGCTTGTTTCAATTGTTCGTGTCTGCGGGCGATTCGACGATCGTTGAGGTTCATGAGGTCCGCGAAATCGCGGTACCTAGCTTTTGCGTCCTCCTTCCCCTGTATGTGGCTGCGTAGTGATGCTTTGTGTGCCAGTATTAAGGCGGATAAAGCTGTGCGTTCTCCAGAGTACGAGAAGTTTTCGAAGGCCAGTTGTTGGGCAATTGGTAGCGGTTGTGTTTCCCCCGCTTCCTGGAGTACCTTCTTCAGAACAACATTCGAAAACACAGCTAGAATCTCTTCCAATCGTTCCCCCTTACACTCATCCAGCATAGTCTTTCTCAGAACGGTGTCTCGCCCTAAGACACCATTCTTCTTCGCATGGTCAAGACATCGAAAGAGGGCGGTTCGAAGATTGAGGGACTGTAGAGGTTCGAGCGGAGGAAAGAATGGCTGGAGTTTCTGAATAGGACTGTGTTAGTCGGGCACAGAGCAAGCACAGAATGGGGTGGGAAGTACATTTCGAGTCTCTTCAGGGTCCCACAGGGCAAACAACTGGAACAGAGCCCATTCGACACATTGTATTCGTTTTTTCTGATTTTGCTGGGCATCTTTCGTGGAAAAGGTCACTTCTGTAATATCCGGCCAGTCATCTCGAAGATCTAGGTCTAGTAGGTGAAGATTGGTGAGGAAGAGACTGATATTCGAGGGGCCTGAAGAAGGCTGCGGAGTTGGGGCCGCTGGGGCTTTGAGGGTATTTGATCGCAAAATGCGCGTCCGTGCGAGGGAGGAATTACTGGTTGAGGACAACATGACGAAGAGTCTTGGGTATCATGACACAATGAAGACGTAGGTATGTTTAGGCGTCTGATGTCTTGAGAGCCTTGGGCTTTTGAGGCGGTCAATCGGGACTCGGGGCGACGTGGACGTGGGGCTTTCGCTTCAGGGACTGGTCCAGGTACAGGCACAAGTACCAGCACCGTTTGTCTCGCTAAGGTAGGGAGCCGAGGTAAGCCTAACCCTACAAGGTTTTCAGCCTCAATATTGCCTTGATTCTGTGCCGCTCTACAACTTACCCATTTCAAACCGCTTTATGCAGTTATCACAGATGCCTGGTGCCTACTAATATTGATTCCAAGTTACGAAAATACAAGTGCTCAAGTATGAATTATTCTCCACCAGACACTTGATGTCAGGTATCCACCCTAGTAACATGATGAAGGCAACTCCAATTTCATCAGCCTCTTGAAAGGCTATGAGCGTTGTTAAGGCTCCATGCACACCCAAAGGAGGATCATCTATGATTGCTGAATGATCGAATCTCACAGTTATCGTCGGTTCCTCGAGTGTAGTGCGGACATTGGATAATGAACTAGCGAGGCTTTTGCAGTCCAGAAAAGGCGCTGGGCAGTCTAGATCCGGACGGGCATAGAAGTTACATGGAGGCTTTGAGTGGGTTTTAGAAGTTCTCCAGAAGACCTTTCCCGGTGAAGCTTCACTTCAAGTGTTGTAAGGTTTGCTGGAGCCTGGGTGAGGTGGGTCTTCTGGCAGCACAAATCCTTCTGGCTCCTCTATGACGGACGCGATGTGCTGGGTTGTAGGGACAAAGAAGAAGGCCAGAACGCCCGATGTATTTAGGGGCTTCGCCCAATCGTGCTTGAAGTTGATCCAAGGCTTGAAGTGCACCTTCTGGAGCTTCCCGAACTTCGAGAAGCTGTTGCTAGATGGCTGGTAAAGCGTAGACCTGAACATCATGTCGAGAATTCGAGTCTCTTTCGTAAAGTTGGAGCCCAAGAGGAGGTGTGCTAGGTTTGGGAGCTGTGACAGCTAAACGGCAAAGAGGGCTTCCATAGTGCCAGAGGATAGTTCCTGGATCCACAGTTTAGTCTAGGATGTGCCGAACTGCTCTACATGTCAAACAGCAGGGTCAATTACCACCGGGATACAGAACCTGTTCCCCTAATTACTAACTGACCCTTGATCAATATACAGGGATCGATCCCTTGCACCCTGTTTAATAGTTTATAGTGTTGTTAGGATTCAGGTACTTAGGCACCTACATACCCTGTTTATAGCGGATACAGCGCCTATACATGTAAATAACAACCCCTTTTTTAAGTATTGTTAGAGATTAGTATTACAGGTAATACAGTAGAGAATCACAGTTAAGTAGCTAGCGAGTCGTAGTATACTTTAATTTAAATCTAAACTAATTCTTGCCTTCTTTCCTTACCCCTTACTCTCTAAGATATATATATACTACCTAAGAACCCTAAGTAGCCCTAGCGTGCTTATAGGTACATAAGGCCTACGTATTCCTAATCTTACCCTTTTAAGTCCTTAATATTACCTTTTTCTCTTATAGCTCTATCTTAGAGTCGTGTAAGCTATACTAGATATAGTGCCTTCTTAGAGTTATATAGAACTTATACTAGATATAGCTAAGCTCTCCTTTTATAGCGTATACCTAAGATACGTAAGGGCTATACTAGGTAAGCCTTATACCTCTCTTTATAGCTCTTACCTTATATATAGACTATTCTTACCTTAAAACCTTAAAATAATATAGTATAGATATAAGAAAGAAAGAATATCTCTTTTCTTTATCTACTCTTTATCTTTATTTATACTTATAGTAGCGTACTTATTATACTAGATTCGCGCTAGCGTGTTCTTAATAAGCTATATAATAAAGGCTCTAGCCGCTCTTTACTTATAGTACCTTATCTACGTAAGAATTTGTTTAATATAAAGAATTGTTTATAAAGCCTTACTAAATGTTTATATCGTGTTATTAGTAAGTGTCTTATAACACGCTACTAAAAAAGAATATATAAAGAGGTAAACTTTCTTTTTCTTACTTTTCTTTTCTTTTCTGTTATACAGGATAATCGATCTATTACAGGAACTAATAAATTAAATTAACTAAGTAAAGTAATTATATAGAGTACCTGTATAGTAATAGTAAACAACTAACTTTTAGCGGGTTGCTAACCCTAATTAGGTTAGACTAGGGCCTCTAGAGTATCCTAGTCCCGTAACTACTAACCCTACGTAATAAGGCTAGTAGTTTCTTGTAATACACCCCTAAATCTACGCCTATAACGTCCTATCTATTTATCTAGCCTAAACTCTATACTACCTGCCGTTCTACTAAGTAAGATACTAAAAGAGGAAATAAAAATAGTAGACTAGTAAGATTCTGCCGCTACTATTACTAAAAAGGGAAATAAAAATAGTAAACTAGTAAGCTTTTTACTGTTTTAATACTAAAAAAGAAAATAAAAACAAGGAATCGTCTTAATTAAGTAATTAAGATAGCTACTATATATAGATTTAACAGCTTTAAGAACTTAGTGTATTTAGGTCTTTTTAGAGCTTTAGTAAGCCTATCTACTACTATATCCTCTATATACTTAAACTAAACCTCTATTTTGCCTAGCGTGACTTACTCTTAAATATAGTAGTACTATACGTTAATATACTTAGTTCTCTAGTAGATAACTAGGTTATCTATTAGTACTAGAGATCCTTAGTTATTACTATATATTTAGATCGTTTTAGTGTCTTTAGAGTTAATACCTAACTCGTAGAATAGCTACCTTAGCTAGACGGCTTCTCTTATAGCGTTAGAGAGCCTATAGTACTCTGTTTTTATAGAAGAGAGTACTACTACTTATAAGCGCTTTAATCTAAAGGATATTGTGCTACTATAGTAGTTAAATAGATATCTAATAGTTAATCTTTATGTTTTTATATAACTAGTGTAGTCTAAATTACTATATCTATGTAATCCCTCTAACGCTCCTTTACTAGCCTTATATATAATTCCTAAGTTAGGCGTACCTTATAAGTATTATAGCACGTGTTTTATAGCGCTTATATAGTTAATAAAAGAGTTTGTAAGATAGTATAATAGTATAGACATTAAATAGTACAGATCTAGGCGTGTTTAAGTTAATAGGTATATAAGCGAACTAACGATTTACTAATACAGTTTGATTTAATCTACTATAGCGTAATCTAGGTTTAAAACTATAAGCTTTACGTAAGCTAGGTCTAATAGTGTTTTAGAGGCTTTATAGTTACTTATCTTAAAGTGTTTAAGTACCTTCTTAATATAAGCGTCTTATATAAGAGATATAGTCTTATTACCTTTATTCCTAACAATCCTAATACTTATAAAGTAGTAATAAGGACCTAGATCCTTTATCTTAAACGCGTTTTATAAGACTACTTTTAGATTAGCTAGCTCTTTCTCTTTTAGGCCGACTAATAAGAAGTCGTCTACATAGGTTATAATAATTAATCCGCTCTTAAGGTATTAATATATATAATTATTAGCTATTAGAGGCTTAAAACCTAGCTTAATAAGTACTTAGCGTAGCTTTAGCTATTATAACTATAGAGCCTACTTTAAACTATACAAAGCCTTGTTAAGCTTGTAGATATAGGTGTTATCTTTACTAGAGCTAGTTAGAAGTTCTACGTATATATCCTTATTAGCTTTCTTATTTAAGAAGGCTATAATATAGTCTATTTGTTCTGTTTCTTAGTCTTTCTTAGCTACTAAGGCTAGGATTACCTTTTAAGTCATACTTTTAGCCACGCTAGCGTAAGTCTAATCGTAATTACGCTTATAGCGTTACTTATATCCTTTAACTACCTAACAGGCCTTATAGCGTACTACTAAACTATTAACGCTAGTTTTCTTCTTAAATACCTACTTACTACCTAGAACCTTAGTACCCTTTTAAAGGCTTAATCTCTTAACTAGACTTTACGTATTGTTCTTTATAAGTAAGTTAAGTTTGTTCTATATAGCCTCCTTTTACTACTTAGACTTAACGCTACTAACTACCTCTTTATATATAATTAAGACGTTTTCTAGATCGTCTTTAACTATAGTCTAGTAAGTAGTGTAGAACGCTATAGCTATAACAGAATAAGCTAATTACTATACCCCTTGTTTAGTATTATCCTTTATATCCTCCTTAGTTATATAGTGTGATTAAGATTAAGTTATTTAGGTAGTTTTAAGGTTAATAGACTATATAAAGTCTTAGGCTTAAGCTAGAGCTTAAGTTGCCTTTAGCTTGTTCTTTAAACCTTTTAGGCGCCCCTAGCTACGCTTAATAGCTACTAAATCAGGTAAGGTAGTAGTCGACTAATCTTAGATCTATTTTATAGTAGAGTTAGTATTAGCTAGTAGATTAATATTAGTAGTAGTAAAAGGCAGTTTCTTAGCTATTTTAGCTACTTTAGCTAGATCTTAATCTTTAGCTAGCTCTTAATCTTTAGCTTTATCTACGTCTTTAGTGTTTGTTAAATCTATAAGTAGATTAGTTAGTAGGTACAGTTTAGTTAGTAGTAACTATATCTTATTATCTAATACTTCTAATATAAAACCTCTTTTATTAAATCTTACGTTTAACGATCTAACGATCTTATAAGCTCTTAAGGGCACGTAATAGTAGTATATTTAGTAGCCTTTAAAACTAAGAAGGATCTTCTTTTTAGTACGCTTATTAAACTTCCCTAACTTAACCTGTCTCTAATCTAGGATATAAACATATACCTTATAGCTAAGTACCTATAAGTAGGCTATAGACGGCTTATTGTCTTAATTTAGGTATAGCTAATCTATAAAGGCTTAATATAAGGTTTTGCCCTTAATAGCTAATGTAGCTATTCTATTAACAACATAAATTATCTCTTCTAGTAACTCTAGCTATAGCTCTTTAGAGACGTTCTAGTTAATTATAGTAGATTATAGCTGTCTAGCTATAATCTTATTTATAATCTTAGATACGCTTAGTTACTTAAGGGTATATAGTATAGTCTCTTTAACTTAAATCCCTTTTGCCTTATAGACGCTAGTTAACGCGATACTACTATATTCG